ATACTGAAGATGCATGTACTGAGCATAGATCCGTCGAAGAAAGAAGATCCCTAGTGCGAAACCGCAACCTCTGCCTCTTCTGCTTGGGCAAGACTTGCCCAAAACCTTGTCCCAACAAAACGCCCTGCAAGTACTGCAAGTCCAATTCTCATCACTATAGCTTGTGCCCATCGCCGGACGAACGAAGCTACCTCGAGGACCAACTCGCCCACTACCAGCATTAACGACCCCCCGGGAGTGTGCTGAGGCCGGACTTGACCCCCGGCCTCAGTAACCCTGTGACCTGGCACGCGCCAAAACCCAAGTAATTAGGCCCCGGACGAAGGAGCTTCGCACAGTGATCGATCACGGTTCGGATTCCCTCAATTGGGATCTTCTCGTCGGCCGTTTTGTCATTCTTGTTTTCGTTCGTCCTGCATGCCTCCGATGTAGTACCTGGCACGCTATCTTTATTCTCACTTAGTTACATCTCATATTTGCCTCGTATTTTTCGGTTCATTTTGCTCCGGTTCATTCTGTGCACCTATTTTCTATCTCTCTATGACTCAGTTGCGTTCCTACATTATTTGTTGAATTTATCTGTTTTCAATGCTATTTTTCCTATTTTTTCTCATTGTACTCAGGCTATCATACCTCATACTTGCCTTGTATTGTTTATCCTTTTATTGGTGCTAACTAAGATACTCAGTGTTCGAATAGGGTTAGCTTTTCGCCTCGTATTTTGCTTCGTATGTTTTGTTGTTGATTACTGGTTAATAAAGGGTTTAAAGGCACCGTCCACCCAAAATGGAGGTTGGCGAGATTATGATGGCATACTAGTGTGGACCTTCATACTAGACAAACCTCCAAGCTTCGCAAAGACTGCTTCTGAAGCGAGAAATCCGCTTCGGAAGTAACAAAGTGGGAGGGGCGCCCCCGGCGGTCCACCCAACTCGAATTCAATGTTTTTGTCGCCTCCAGGCCTTCTGAAAGCCCTGATTCCGAATATGGAGTCGAAAATTCGCGAAACCCCCAAAAATCCCTGTTTCGAGAACCCTCTGCAACAAGTGCAGGCGAGATAAAGCATGCAAGTGGGCGGGAGGACCGGGGGCGCCCCGCCCACTTTTGTTACTTCCGGAGCGGATTTCTCGCTTCAGAAGCAGTCTTTTGCGGCAAAACTTGGGGGTTTGTCTAGTATGGGGGCCCACACTAGTATGCCATCATAATCTCGCCAACCTCCATTTTGGGTGGACGGTGCCTTTAATTACCCAAGTTTGAGGTGTGATACAACTACGGTTTCTATCCGCGTTTACCTCGAGTCTGTTTGTTATTCCTAGTGCTGTATTATTCGTTCAGTGTTCACACACCAACCTCAACTGCTGAAGACCCGCGTGGTCCACGAAACTCCCAGTGATTCGAAGATCCGACCTCATCGAAGCAGGTGAAACATGGGATTTGACGAAACCTTTCACTTCCCTTTTCATTCTTCATTTCGAATTTTCGTTTGTGGTCATTTTTCTTGAATACGGGGTTGGTCCCCCCTCTTTCCTCCTCGATTTCCCATGACCCAACTCAGACTGGATCAATGCTGTTCTCAACGATAAGGAAGGTCAATTGATATACTTCGACTTATCAAAAGCTTTCGACCGAATAAGCCATAGGAGATCTGTTGAATTGGTTAAAATCTTATCTTCGAGATAGAAAAATGACTGTTCGCGTTGTCTAAAACATTCTGAATATTCTCCATGCTTGAAGGCACCGCCCACCCAAAATGGAGGTTGGCGGGATTATGATGGCATACTAGTGTGGGCCCCCATACTAGATAAACGCCCAAGTTTTGCCGCAAAAGACTGCTTCTGAAGCGAGAAATCCACTCCGGAGGTAACAAAAGTGGGCGGGGCCCCCCGGTCGCCCCGCCCACTTGCATGCTTTATCTCGCCTGCACTTGGCAGAGGGTTCTCGAAACAAGGATTTTTGGGGGTTTCGCGAATTTTCGACTCCATACTCCAGGGCTTTCAGAAGGCCTGAAGGCGACAAAAACATTGTATTCGAATTGGGTGGACCGCCGGGGGCGCCCCGCCCACTTTGTTACTTCCGGAGCTGATTTCTCGCTTCAGAAGTAGTCTTTTGCGGCGAAGCTTGGAGGTTTGTCTAGTATGAGGGCCCACGCTAGTATGCCATCATAATCTCGCCAACCTCCATTTTGGGTGGACGGTGCCTTTAAGTGGGCTTCCCCTGAGAGCATCTAGCCTCTCTTGTTCAACACCTAAACGGCTGATTTACCAAAAATACTCAAGACCCACCCAGATGTGCACAAACTGATGTATGCAAATGATATCAAAATTTCCGGTATCTATAATAATGAAAACCGCAGAATAGTCCGAGATGCACTACAACGCGCCATCAACCTTATGGTTGAATGGTGAAATACTTGGAACGTCCCTGTAATTGTGAGCAAAAGTTCTGTGTTCTTTACGAACATGCCGGTAAAACTTTGATCAAAAAAACATAAGTTAAAGACACAGGAGTCATATGCAATCCCTCTCTGAAGGCACCGTCCACCCAAAATGGAGGTTGGCGAGATTATGATGGCATACTAGTGTGGGCCCCACAATAGACAAACCCCCAAGTTTCGCCGCAAAAGACTGCTTCTGAAGCGAGAAATCCGCTCCGGAAGTAACAAAAGTGGGCGGGGCGTCCCCGGTCCCCCCGCCCACTTGCATGCTTTATCTCGCCTGCACTTGTTGTAGAGGGTTCTCGAAACAGGGATTTTTGGGGGTTTCGCGAATTTTGCGACTCCATATTCGGAATCAGGGCTTTCAGAAGGCCTGAAGGCGACAAAAACATTGAATTCGAGTTGGGTGGACCGCCGGGGGCGCCCCGCCCACTTTGTTACTTCCGGAGCTGATTTCTCGCTTCAGAAGCAGTCTTTTGCGGCGAAGCTTGGAGGTTTGTCTAGTATGAGGGCCCACGCTAGTATGCCATCATAATCTCGCCAACCTCCATTTTCGGTGGACGGTGCCTTTAAGTGGGCTTCCCCTGAGAGCATCTAGCCTCTCTTGTTCAACACCTAAACGGCTGATTTACCAAAAATACTCAAAACCCACCCAGATGTGCACAAACTGATGTATGCAAATGATATCAAAATTTCCGGTATCTATAATAATGAAAACCGCAGAATAGTCCGAGATGCACTACAACGCGCCATCAACCTTATGGTTGAATGGTGAAATACTTGGAACGTCCCTGTAATTGTGAGCAAAAGTTCTGTGTTCTTTACGAACATGCCGGTGAAACTTTGATCAAAAAAACATAAGTTAAAGACACAGGAGTCATATGCAATCCTTCTCTGAAGGCACCGTCCACCCAAAATGGAGGTTGGCGAGATTATGATGGCATACTAGTGTGGGCCCCACACAAACCCCCAAGTTTCGCCGCAAAAGACTGCTTCTGAAGCGAGAAATCCGCTCCGGAAGTAACAAAAGTGGGCGGGGCGTCCCCGGTCCCCCCGCCCACTTGCATGCTTTATCTCGCCTGCACTTGTTGTAGAGGGTTCTCGAAACAGGGATTTTTGGGGGTTTCGCGAATTTTGCGACTCCATATTCGGAATCAGGGCTTTCAGAAGGCCTGAAGGCGACAAAAACATTGAATTCGAGTTGGGTGGACCGCCGGGGGCGCCCCGCCCACTTTGTTGCTTCCGGAGCGGATTTCTCGCTTCAGAAGCAGTCTTTGCGGCGAAACTTGGGGGTTTGTCTAGTATGGGGGCCCACACTAGTATGCCATCATAATCTCGCGAACCTCCATTTTGGGTGGACGGTGCCTTTAAAACCAGATTTACAAGTCTCGGCCGTTGCCTCTCGCGCTATCTCTCTCAATTACCTCATATATCGCAATACGAAAGTTAATGTCTCTTAAGTACTCTTGAAACTTTACAGATCTTTTGTCATTCCCATTTAGAGTATACGAATCAGGCGTGGTGCCCCTTTCTGGTGAAGCACAAACATTTTCTGGAGAACGTTCAGAAAGTCTTTGAACGACTACTTTTTTACCGCTGCTTCCCTAGCCCTACTTATCCCCAGTCACTTCCTGGCTATGAAGAACGTTTAACAATACTTGGCCTCAAAAGTCTCCCGTATCGCAGGGTCATTCATGACCTTGTGCTTGCTTTCAGGATTTTCAGGAACGAGACTATATCGAGATGATAGCATGATAGAGCAAGCTTTTGGCTACAACGTATCACACGGAAATTTTTTTGCAATAATTAGGAAAAAAATTTTGAAGATTCAAGTGAAGGTGTGCTCGCATAAGGGAAATTTGGATGCGATTGCGCGAACGGGGACGAAAAATCATAATCTAAAAAGTGCTAAAATTGCTCCGTCAACCAAATTCGAACGGATATTATGCAGAAGACTCATGAAAATATAGCCCAAAACTGAGTACCTACTGCGCTTCTATAGCATTCAAATTTATTTTGAAGCCGAATGACCATTGGAACGCAGGTTATTCGCAAATTTTTATTTTGAATTTTCGAAAAAATAGTTTCTGGCAAATGCAATTACTACAGTGTGATAGCGCAAAGCCTCCTCTACATTGTGTGCATCAAAGTGTTGCAAAATACTAATAGCATCTTTAGCCACGAAATATACTGTGAGTACCAAAAATCTTGATATTCTTGCTCTGTAAAAGCATTTGTTTGATAAAACCAGTTCCTACAAAAACATATACAAGCTTTTCTAGCTAGGTAAAGCGTGTTCTGTACAGGATGGTCGCAACATTATGTGGCATAAACTTGGAAGCAAAATCGTCAATAATTTCATGATTTACAATACTGCAAACTCGGCTCCCAAACTTTTGCTTCACCCTGTATGACTGTGTGTTTTTGTTCGTAAGGAACGCCACGAGCGTATTGAATAAAATAAAATAAAATAAATAGACAACTACAACTCATACAATGGGACAAGCGCCGTTCAGCCCAAATGTTACTAGGGGCCAGCGAGTAAACCTTTAGCTCTGCTCTAGCCATGCATATCAGTCGAGGACGTACTACAGGTACCCCAAGAATGGCCATGCCTCTCCTCAGCATGGATCTTCTCAACGCTAACGGTGAATATGGAGATGCTGCTTGGTCGATGAATGTTGGCGGTTTTAGTCCCCCCCCCCCAAAAAAAGCAAGTTTAGGCTCTCAAATTTTTGTCACATATAGATTCTGAGATTTGATGAGGACAGAAGAAGTATAATGAAATACTTCCTTACAAACCACCAGGCAATGCGCGAATTTGGACTGTCTTCGCGGGCATTTTGTTTTGCTTGCCGCGCACTCGATGCAGCGACCGCGAGAGGCACCAAAGTCGTAAGCAGCGTGGATATCGTCTTTTGAACTCAAAGAACGTGCGAGACAGTGCTTCCAGAATATTGAGGGGGACGAAAAAAAATTTTTCTTCTCAAGTCCAGTTCCGCTTTTTTTAGAAGCTTCCCAAAATGCCTTTGAAAATTTTTTTTACAGGGCTAATTTGAATTTCAACTATCTCAATTATTACAAGTGTAAACAAGGCACTTATGCGTGGAGCATACGGCCCGTGTCAACGATGTGCTCTCGTTCCGATCAGCTCAAGCGCAACGCTAGAGCCCATGCCGCGTACGCAGGCAGTTTGAGCGTCCAATTTAGCCGCATTGATCGGGGATGCCGCGCAATGCCGACGCGCTGCGGATGCGTAGGCTACGGAAAAGGGAGCCTGTGGTTGACACTGAGTATATCGTCGATTCATGACACGCAAAGACTGGGCGCCTTTGCATCCGACAAAAGTAGTTTGTGCATGGGAGAGACAGCAGACGGTAAGGGGAACGAAAGAGCGCTCAATCACGGAGACGCCGATATGTCCGCAGTCTTTGCTTGCTATGAATCGCCTATACCTGAAGTTTCGCGCACTCCAAGCACGACATCTACGACCACCGTCCAAACATTTTCGGCGAGAAAATCTGGATAGATTGATGCAAAGAACATTTTCATAACTGGTCCCTCTTAAAAGGAGCAGTCAAATAACTGTTTTCTGAAAGTTGTCGCAAGGTACGGTGTTGTTCGACATCACGTCTTCGCGGGGTTGACGCAAATAGACGTCGGTTTGCGCTACTCGTGATGCAAGCATGGTTCCCTCAATCAAATCCATATTTTTCAACGTTTTTAGTGGTTTTTTCAGCAGTTCTGCTGGTTTTAGTCAATGAATGTGCCTCGAGCAAACGCGGTAACCACCTTCCCATGTTTCATTTGTTGAAAGTGGAGCGTGCGCATCTCGCGGGAACTTATCCTAACTTTGGAAAACATATGAAGCTAAAATTGTCGGTAATTGCTACAGGTAAGAATGTAGAGCTCTTCCTTCCTGAATAAAATCTGCAAACCTTATTTCTGGTTGTTCTATCGGCGGTTTTTGAAGCACTTTTCCTAAAAATGGTCTTTTCCTTTGCTGATTTGCTGAGGGTGACTTTCTTCATCTGGTTTGGTCCCTCCTTCAGTTCTCAAATCAGCATTCATACAACTATATCATGTACTTCTTTGGAATCCTCAGTCTCCTCCGCTGTCTATCGCTTCTTGCAGAATTGGTATTACCATCCTATTTTTTCTTGCCATCCACAAAGAAAATTGCATTTCGAATTTGTCTCTGTAGAGATCTATATCCACCACCAATCCTCTAGAAAGGATCATCGTATCTACAAAAACAGTATATGGAAAGGCGATCTACGCATACAATCGATGTCAAAAAATTGTTTATCTCAGGGATGATCTCACTAGCGTGATGACTTTTTCAAAGTATTTCCAGTCCCTTTGTCCTCTCCCTGTTTTAGATAAACATCTGTTTTTTGTACATGTTTTAACCTAAAGTCGATATTGTTCATCACGTTATTTAGTGAATTGTACAGTTTTTTTCCATCATCTGCGCTTTATTTCTGATAGGAATAATCATTGCTTGATAAGATTTCAAGTTATTCATAGGTATAGCCTAGGGGTTCTCAAACATCCTTTCTTAGCCACTGTGTATTTATTTTAGGCCGCAGGAAAGGTCAAAGTCTTGCGCTTGCTGATCTCGAGCCCGAAAAAATGGTGTGGCTACACTTATCCTGCGATCCAGATCCAGCCCGGGTTGAGAGGGGCAGCCGGCGATTGTACCACGGTAGCCAGGTAGCCACGAAAATTGGGAAAATCGAAGACGCGTTTCGAGTTACGAGAATACTTTTTTCCAAATTTACAAAAATTGAAATGATTTCCAGTCGATTTAGGAGATGGAGCAGCCTTAGTCTTCCAGCGTGCGCAGTTTAGCGAGCTTGATCACATCAACAAGATCTCGCGCTGCATCACATGCTAAGAAGAGAAGCATTTTTAGTCGAAGTGGCCTTTCCACATGACACCATATCACTTTGTAGAGCATTGACTGGTTCTAAATCTGTCTTCTGTATCTGCCAAACATCCTGGAGGCCATGTTATGAGTGTTTTTAGGTCGTAAAATCGAATGCGCAACTGAAATAAAATTGTTCAGATTTGCCATGGTCAAGTTAACTGTCAAAGCACTTCACTTAACTCAATGCATACCTTCTTCTAATACCTTCATTTTCAACACTGCTTAATTTAAGCGCAAAAATATCGTTAAAATTGTTTTCAACTAAATTCTGTGTTCATTTTGCGATCCACAAAACCAGTCATAACTCAGGCATGCTTGGGCGCTTGGCAAATTACAAAAACAGATTTGGAATTAGCTTTCAGTGCTTTTCAAAGTGATAGAGGACTCATTGAATAAGGCCACTTTGACTAGAAGGCTTTCCTTGTAACTTTAGACGCACTCATGATTGTTATGCAGAAGTTACGCAAACTGATATGGAATTTTTGAGTAGAATTCTGTCGACGTTTTTCTCGATCTTGTAAGCTTTCGGCACGTGGTTTTCATACGCAGTTACTTTTCCTGCATTTCTTTTCTATGCTTTTGCAGCATTTTCTCCACTTCTCATGTTCGTCGTGTATCTCCTTTTCCTCGATTCATTTTGTTGTTTCTTGCTCGGATTACTTTTCATGAACGTCGAAAAGTAAGGTTGAGAACTCGTCATTCATTGCGCCTATACCGCTGGGTAAATCCATCCATTCATAACTTCAGCGCTCGATGCGTCGTGTGCCACCTTGTCCAGCTAACGAAAAACATTTTCAGGTATGACATCAGCTGAGGTAGACTCAGCAGTTGTGGCGAATTCGAAAGATAGCATCGAGCCACAACTGCCCGATTCCGGAAATGCCTCAGTCAGTGGGTCGCCAGATTGTGTTCACACAAACGGTCAGTTTTTGAAGTTGTTGCATTAGTTGAGTTTTCGGCTGCCAAACTTTTGTTTTTTTTTTAACAGTACGAAATAACTCGCAGGTTGGGTTGATTTTATCAGGAAGCTTCGTTCATACTTGTTTTGTATCTCATGCTGAATGGGAAATTGTTGAGGCTTGAGTTACAGGTGAAGTAGCGGAAGCCGATGGGGCAGCTAAAGGACCACCGCAAGAAACCGTGTTCTCGTTGACCATACAGCCGACTGTTGGCGATTCCTTCGATCTTCAAGTATGTTCTCGTTCTCATACTAAGTCCCTCACTTAGGTCAGTTCTTGTTCAGAAAGTATGAAAAAAGCTTTCAGTGAACGAATTCCACATTATTGAGTTTTTGAGTTTTTTTTTACTATTCAGCTATAGGGCATTCGAAAAATCGAGACTATGACGCGACCGCGCGCGACATGCACGCACCTCCCTATAGCCGCATTTTCTAGGTTTTTATCTCTACTCGAAATGCTTTCTGCTTACATATGACAGTATTTAGACATTGGAAGAGACTGAATTTAGAGTTGAGGTGATGCCGTTTTGTATGAGTGTTTCTGCTCCTGTGGGCGCAAAGACCGCAGTAAAATCCTGTCACTATTTTACAAACGACCTCTAACTGATATAGATTGACTGAATTTTTGAATGTTATCTTTGTCATTGTTTTCTTTGCAGATTAACAGTGCCGAGATGGTGCAAGAGCTGCATCAGGTGCTTTTGGAACGTGAGGCGACATGTCATAAGACATGCTTCAGTCTCCAGTTGAACGGAGTCACGCTTGATAATTTCACAGAAATCCGAGCTGTGCCAGGTCTCGTAGATGGAAGTGTTCTACATGTCGTAGAAGGTGGGCATAACGACTTCGGTGAAAGGTTCATCAAATCTCACATTCAGAGCCGTACACAATGAGGGAAGCTCGCATTCATTTGCGTCATGTGCGTGATTTGCTGAAGAATGGTGATCAAGCTGATGCCGCATCTGCGGTCGACTTGACGTCGTTATCATTTCTGCCTTCGGTAAACCTCCAAGAAAGAGGAGACAAGGAAAAGCCCTTTGATGGGCTACCACCAGACTACGTATTGCCTGGGACCAAAGTATGCTTTTTAATTCTGATAACTCACAAATATCAGGTCGTTTGTTTTTAGGAGCGCTCCCTGGCTCCGATGTTGACAAATCTAAGCAAAGGAAAAGTAGCGGTCAAGAATCTTGGAATATCTGCGTTTAATCCACCTCCTGGATACAGAAAAGTCAAAGGCGATGTACTGTATCTTTTTGTAGACACAGTAGAGAAGCGCCGTTTACATATTACATGCTGCACAAAGGTAACGCATCAGTTATGTTGATCAGGAGTGGTACGACAGCGTTTTAGGGATTCTTCGTCAACTCATCTTCTGATGACGTATTTAATCCAGCTCCAAGTAATCAAAATAAAGGAATTAGTCATAGTTTAGTAGATCTGCTCAATGTTGTCAGCCCAGGATTCAAGAAGGCAAGCGCTAGATTAACCTTTTTTTTTCAACTATTCGTAGAATTTTGTTTATAGGCATATCCAGTAATTATCAAGAAGCGTAATGAGCGTCATATGCTCGACAGACTTCCTACACCATATCCAGTATATTCTTGGTTGTCGCCTGCACAAGAGGTTGTTGAGGATTCAATACGTGCTGATGACGCTTCCCAACCACATCGCGTCGGATTTGAGGGCGAGTTTTGGTGGCAATACTTTTCATAACAGCTTCTTTGATTTCGATATCTGGGATGTTTAACTCATGTCTTTTCAGATCACCTACCTGGTCAGATTCGTGACTGGAACGAGGAGTTGCAGACTACGCATGAAATGACTCGTACGTCTCTTCCTGAAAGGTTGACCAGAGACAGAAGTGTTTTCAAAATTCATGGCGATTTCATTGGTGCCGCTATCAAGGTAAGTATTTTTTTATGTATTTAAAAAACTGAACGTCAGGGTGATTTTCAGGGCGCAATGGCTGTTGTCGACGGAAATGTAATGGCGATAAATCCAGCTGATGAGCCACGAACTCACATGTTCATATGGAATAATATATTCTTCAGTCTTGGTTTCGATGTCAAAGATCATTATAAGGTACAAACTGCCGTCAGTCGTGAGCTGTCATCATCTGGAATATTTCAGGAGCTTGGTGGAGATGCAGCAGCTTTTGCGGCAACATCAGCTGATCTTCAAGGAGTGAAAGCATATGCTGCACTTGATAATTGCAAACTTTGTACTCTCGGAATGGCAATAATCGATTACAGAGGCTACAGAGTCACAGCACAAAGCATCATCCCAGGAATTTTAGATAAAGAGCAGGTATATGGCTTTGACTGTTTTCTTATATGTCAAGTCTCTCAATGCAGGAGTTGCAGTTTGCTTGAATTATGTAAACGGAGAGTTTTTAGGAACAGTCTGTCGTATATGGTTCGATAGACTTTGGTAAAACAGTTGTGTCGTCAGAGAAATACCACGAGCTTCTTGAGTCATCAGCAAAGGAGCTGAAGTTGTTGCCACATGAGGTTGTTATCGATGAGAAAGGAAATACCGCCAAATTATTCACCAGCTACGAAACAAAGGTTAGCCAAGCGTAACTCCTATTAATTTTTTGAAAACAAACTTTTCATAGGGTATCATTGGAAATGATGGTCGACATTATGTGCTCGATCTTTTACGAACAATGCCTTCAGATGTGCATTATTTGCAAGACGCTGAGGTATCGTTTTTTACTATCTCTTACATCTTTTTTGTTATGTCTATTGTAACTGTGTTGCTATCTACAGAACTGAATATGAGTTCTCCTGAGTTTTAGGCCCCTGAAGTTAATTTTGGATCAAGCTTTTTTTTTATTGTGAATCAATCCTTGCACAACTCAGTTCATTGTTAGCCTTTTTGCAGGTCACTGAAAAGTCGAAACAGCTGGGTTTCCCTCGTCCATTCCCACACAAGCTTGCCACGCTTCGTCAAGAACTTGTTGACATCTTCCACGAGTATGCTTTATTAGAAGTATTTCGACCAGCTGTAATTAATTTTCATACATATTTAGGGCTCGATGTATGCAGTTTATCAAAATGGCAGCAGCCCACGTACGGCAACAGCTGAACGCCAGCAAGGAAAGTCAGGAATCAGGTCAGTAGGCATATTTGCTGAAAAACTGTTTTTCACGTTTTTTTTCTAGTGGATATTGAGAACGAAGTTACAAGAGCATTAGTTGAAGTTAGTGAAGGACGTGATCCCCTCACCACTTGCAACATCACAAAAGAAGCGTTGTCTAAGGTAATTTTCAGGATTTCTTTTCTGTAATTGTGCGACTAAAGGACAATTTTAGGCAGCTGAAGCTGTGCATTCATTGCGCCCAGACACATTTGACATTCGGTTCAATCCCGATTGTTTCTCTAATACGGTGAAACATGCACCTGGAGAAGATCTGGAAAAGCAGAGAAGGCTTGTCATGGAGGTAAGCGTTGAAACGGCGAATCTCAGGATGCTTTAACGGTGTGTCATTGATTTGTACTTTGTAAGGCAGCCGAGTTCTTGGTCACATCTCAACTTCCGGAGTTCGTATCGAGCTGTGTAGATGCGTCAATAACACCAATAGATGGAGAGAGCCTCTGTGATCTGATGCATGCTCGTGGTATCAATGTCCGATACTTGGGCGATATCGTGAGGATGGTAGGTGTTCCTTCGAATTTTCATTCTTTTTCATCCCTACTGTTCTTTTTCCTTTTTTACTGTGAACTGGCAGCATTTTTTTCTCTTTCTCAGGTCCTTGAGACAGGATCATCATCATATATGGTGTCATTATCAGTGACGGAACTCATCGCACGTTCCGCAAAACACGTGCTCAGACAGTATATGAATACACTCCCGCAGGTAGTTGTCTTTTCTTGCTGTCAGCTTTCTCGCGCTAAGATTTTGATTTTGTAGGAGCAGCTTGGTTGCGCGATCTCTCATCTCCTAAATGCAGTATTTGGCAACCTAGCGTTTGATCATTCATCCGGTATGAATGGTGATAGGAACACGAAAAGAGTGAGAAATCTGCAACATTTTCGTGATTAGCTCAATGTTCACTTCTTTTTTGTAGAGCAGTAAAAAGTCAAAGAAGGCTTCCGCAAGTGGCGAATGGGTTGCGGTTAATACAAAAGAATTCTGGAATATGCTCTGTCAAGAAGCTAAGAACTACTACGCTTTTGATCTCAAGGTATCGCTTTCCTAAATGCAGTATTCGGCAACCTAGCGCTTGGTCATTTATCAAGGATGAATGACTTATGACGAATATGATGTTATGCTTGAAAGTTTTAGGCTGACTGCATTGATTCTGTTGTGGAGCAGTATGGTATACAGAAAGTGTCTCTACTTCGTCGTCTATGTAACACACTCGGAATTCAGCTGCTCAGCAGGGTTAGTGAAGTTAGATCTTTGGTCTTTTTCTGTGACTTGATTCAATTTCTTCTTTCTTGTGAAACCTTTTCTGTCTGTGATTTGAAACTCAAGAATGAACGATTTTAAATTTAGGATTACCAACTGGAAGCAAATTCAACAAGAACGCGACAGCCGTTCACTGAAGAGGATATTCTTAATTTGATACCAGTCACGAAACACAGACAGGTACGTCCGTATAATAATTATGTAGTCCGAGAGACTTCAAATGTACGTGGTTTAGCCTTGTGCTAGTGATGCCAAGAAATTGTTTGCTCGCGGTCAGCAAGCTATGCAAGTCGGACATCTGCGCGAGGCGTACGAGTGTATTGCTGAATCGGTAAGTTCATTCGTTTGCCAGAGTTTCTTTTCGGTTTCTTCCTTTTTATTGCGAAAATTAGGGGAAATCTTATTTGTTTCCGATTGTTCATATTTAGGTCAATTTAATGACATCCGTCTATGGTGCCATGCATAGTGAGCTTGCTCAAGCTCTTCGACTTCTCGCCCGCCTGTCCTACATACTTGGCGATCCTGCTGAAGCTGTTGCTCAACAGCATCGCGCAGCGCTTATGAGCGAGCGCTGCAACGGCATCGATCATGCATACACTATCATTGAATATGTAAGTCTCATATCTAGCTGTTTGCAAAGTTTGGTATAGATATAACGGTTTTCAGATTAATCTTGCCCACTTTGCTTTCTCGAACCTCTATATTCCTGCAGCACTTAGACTTTTGTATCGTGCTCGATATTTGTTGCTAATTGCACACGGAGAAAATCATCCGTTGATGGCTCAAATTGATGTAAGTTCTGTGTTTTTGAGGGAGTTAATGGTGCAACAGACATTCTGTTTAGGGAAATATTGGAGTTATTCTATTTGCCGTTCATGAATTTGACGCTGCATTACGTTTTTTGCAATCGGCGGAAGCCGCCATGGCAGCCAACGGAGAACCCAAGCGTCTCAAGGTTAGTTTTTATATAAACATCTTGTTTATTTAATAAATTCTTTCTTTAGTCTGCACTAGTACAACATATCACCGCCCGCGCGCATGCATCTCGTGGAGATTTCCGAGCAGCTCTAGCAGCTGAAAAGGAAACTTACTCGATCTATAATGGACTGTTTGGACCAGAGCACGAAAAGACCAAGGTTATTTTTTCTATAGGAGAAGTTTTTCATGTCATTAAAAACTAGTGTCATCGCAGGAATCAAGTGAGTACCTTAGTCAGCTGACCATGCAGGCAGTTGCTTTCCAAAGAAAAGTTATGGATGCAACCAAAGGGAACAGCGTTGGTCCTTTACTCCCGACACAGGTCCGTTGAACGAAAGGGCTAAATACTTTGTTTTTGTTCTCAGAGCTTCCATCAGTAGAATATTGTGGTGTGGGAAAATCAGTTTAGGCTTGGTCCAAAAAAGAAATTTTTTGTTCCAGTTGTCAGATGCGAATTTCATCCATTTTTTCTTTTGTTAACATATTCAGGACACGGCCGGTTTATCGATTTCTGCCGTTTCGGACATACGACCCACTGGTATCAACTTTCTCGTGTCTTTTTTGAGGCTGTTGATGGGTCATATTCTTCGAAAAGTGGTCTTCTAATTAGGCTTGCCCCTAGATGTCTCCAAACATGTGCGGACATCTCATGTACCATTGTAAATCTGCAGGGCTTAGTAGTACGAACCCGGAGGTGGGTCGTATGTCCGAAATGGCGGTACACGTACGACCTACCGGTGGGTCGTATTGTCGTGAATGTGTTAAACAACCTCAAGAGTTTATTGTTTCCGAGTCAAGCGATTTGCCATTTTTTTTTTGCATTTTTTCGAGTGCCTCTTGGTTGTGAAGCTAGTCACGTGCCATTTGGCAGTGTACAGCTTTGCTTAACACGGATTCTAGACATCATTCTCTTGTTGTTTTTTTGTCAATCAAAAATCATTTGTTCTCAACATCTTTAACTTTTAATGACTTAATGAAAAATTTCAGCTTCCTCAGCCGTCGCTATCCTCAATTCTTGACGTACTGAACATTTTAAACGGTATCATCATCATCTCAGTTGCTAACGTGCCGTCAGCCATTGAACCGTCCGAAAATGGAGAAACAAAAAACACTACTGAATCTTTGGGTATGACCGACGAAGCTCTGGATTGAAAGCTGCCGTTTACCAAGTCCTCTGTATTAGTTTTCCTCATATATTTTTTGTTTTCTTCAGTTCTGAATCGCTTCAGAGTTCTTCGTTTCATAGTGATTAGCTGCTGTTTCCTCTCAACTTCCGCTTTATTCACATTAGTCATGAGAGGTCGCTTATTGCAGTAGCATCTGAAGCTGGTCGCAAATCTGTAGGTTTTAGTTGCATAGTAGTAATCAGTAGTAATGTAACCGTTGGTTTGCTCCAAAGATTTGTTGAGCGTTCCATTCAAAGGCTAGTTTCGAACGAAGGCGGATGCCATATAAGGTAAGCCCGCGACGCGGCGCGCAAGTGTGGTTGGTCTTCGTGTGCATCACGTGCGCTCCAACGGTGATAAGTGCTCAGCCGACATCTTGCACCGGCTTCGCCAACATAAATCATCCACCTTCGTTCGGAACTAGCCTTTACCTTGTTGTTGACGTGAAGTAGGATGGATATGCATTAGTTATGTTAATCATATTTAGTAGGTATAATGTAGGTGATTTAGTAGAATAGTTTAGGTTACCAATACTGTTAGTGTTGATTACAAAATATATTCAAAATGTTAGAATTAGGCCTTGTTTGTTGTTGTTATCACATTGGAGAGAGTAATTAGTCATCGTTTGTTCGATTTTTTTGTCATTATTTTGCTCAGATTTCAAAATCTTTCCATCCGAACTTCTCGCTGTAAGCTCACCTATGGCATCATATATTTTGTTATGTCCCCTTCGCGTTTGATGAGCATTTACACCACATATTCCTCGTCTCGCAGCTGTAAGATGAATGACTTGAGAGATAAATAGATAGTATGAAATGGTGTAAGTTACATGGAGATGAACCGAGTGATCAAATTCGTCGTTCTTTCAAATTTGAGGTCGGTGAGCCATTGCGGTACACGATAGCGAGAGCAATAAACTGTGTAATTGTCGAAAGTCTGTTGCAAAAAGTTGAATTTGAAGCGAGTGAGCCGCTTTAGAAGGCGGATGAGACAGAGGTCGACACGCCCAATTATGGGTGGTCTGGAGGTAACCCGGAAGTGAGTTCCAGAGTATTTAAGAATGTTGAAAATCCTTATTCAAATACGATACTGCTTTTCGACATTTTTAGATACTCCGAAGGCCGGGCTTCCTTCGGGCTCACTGCTTTCAGACCACCCAAGTTGGTGGGCGTGTCGACCTCTGCTGCATCCAGGTTCTAGAACGATTCTTATTTGCTTCGGAATTCACCTTTTCAAGCAGGATTTCGGCATTTATTAGTCACGGACTTGCTTTCGTTCCGCATTAGAATTTCACGACTAAAATTTGGGTGGACAATGTTGCCAGGCATTTATTCCGATTTCTCCAGCAGCTTTTGAAAAGGTTTCATTGGTTTCAACTTTGGATTTCCTTGCTTTGCAAAATTCATGTTATGAGCGGACTTGCGCTATATGTTCGTTCCTTCCACGTTGTGCCTAGTAACAAATGCGGGCACGATGGAACGACTCGAAAATTCACGAAATGACTTCTCGTAGCAACCGCTCATTGATTCCTCTTTAGTGTCCATTCTTGTTTGGTTGCTCATCACCGTTACTGAAGTGCTCATTTTCAACTATGGTTTCCAACTAATATCGTGGTACCTGAATTTTTTTCGGTCTTACTTACCCATAAAAGCCAGCCAAGATGGGAAAAGGTGGAGGAGACAATGTGGTTGTTGCTGTACGAGTTCGTCCATTCAATGATCGAGAAAAAAGCAGAAAAGCTCAGCTCATCATCGAGATGCCAGATGAACAGAGAACATGCATACGGTAAGCGATCTCAGATCACTGTAAAACTGGCCCAAACAAATTGCTCTGAGCGCGGATGTAACAAGAAGGAAAGAAATGGAATACACAGTGTGGATGTCTTTTTCATATGAATGTGCAGTGCGAATAACGTATAGGTGATTCATAGCACGCAAAGACCGCGGACGTATCGGCGTCTCTCTGATCGAGAGCTCTTTGTTTCTTTTACCATCTGCTGTCTCTGCCATGCACGAACTATTTCGACCGGGCGCAACGGCGCTCAGTCTTTGCGTGTTATGAATCGTGTATACACTCAATTTTTCGAACAGATTAATTTGGTATTCTCGAAATTAGCGCAACCAAGGAACATACCTTGTAACAACAAATATCGAAGTATTGTATTCTGATGCTTTCGTAAAAGTGCGGTGCTCAATATTGCCGCATGACAGAGGCGCACCGAGGAGACCCCCCCCCCTCCCTCCCCCAAGAACGGGTCGCGAAATTCTTAAAGTTCATTTGCATGGGTTACAAAGTTGTGCAAATCACTTGCCTGCACTTGTGAATAATTAAAATAATTTTCAGAATTTTTAAAATATTCATTTTAACCTAATGAAAAGAATTTTTCGGGCGGCGTGGCTGACACCCCGGGGTGATCCTGAGCCCGCGAAAATCTTACGAGGAAACGATACTTGGTGTCCGTGGCCTTTTGAGATGAAACGTATACCATCACATTCGTCTTGAGACGCTGATTCCAAATCTGACTTCTGTTTCTGCTAATCGTTTCTCTAAAAGAAGTTATGAGAGCTTTTTGCGTCAATGGTCGCCTAAAAGAAATACGGTCGAGGATGCTTAATTTTCAAAAAGAAGCTTGTTTAAGGAAATTTAAAACTTAAAAACACGAAAGGACTCGAACCTAAACCTGCATTAACTTGCGAGGCTATCGCACGACCACTACACCACATTTTAGCGGCGGTTTTGGCATTTCGACCACATCTCCTTTGGCGCAAAAATCCTTCATAATTTTTTCCCGAGAAACGATTAGCAAAAACGGAAGCCAGATTCGGAATCAGCGCTTCAAGACGAGTGTAATGGTATGCATCTCATGTCAAAAGGCCACGGACACCAAGTATCGTTTCCTTGTTAGGGAGCATACCAAAAAATTCCCCCCCCCCCCCCCCCGAGCCGAAATCCGGGTGCGCCACTCCGTATGATTATTATAAGATTATTTACTGACTCTGCACGGTAGAGAGAAACTGTAGCTTGACGAAACTTTACAATGGTGGCGATTTCGAAAAGTTAATTGGTCTAACTTTTTGGGACAAGTAGAAGCTTGAGAAGAACACTGAAAAGCTCAATATAAGTCTCAGAATCTATTTGATCTGATTTTTCCAAATTTCGATTCAGACATCTCAGTGAATTGCATTAATTAGTTTGATGCACAATTTTTGCACCAAAAATAGAAGTTGTTTAAAAATACTCAAATAATTCAATCAATTTACAGAATATGCTCTTTGTTGTGTATATCAAAAGTAGTATTTTAAGGAACATTCTAGAGAATCAATATGAAACCAACTCAATAAGTCAATTTTGAGAAATCGAAATTCTTAACTATCCGCAGAGACAGAGTTCAACTTTTGGTGGACGTTTAGCAATTCGATGACCAAAAGTCGAAAAATCATTTTGGGGATTTCTTCTAACCAGCTTATATCGCTGACACATGTCCTCAAGAAATTTTGACTCGAGCATGTGCCGAAAGCGCAAGATTTTTCCTTTCTAATATGTGTCAATACAAAAGATTTTGTTGAATCTGGAAGAAGTAACAGAAATTAGTTTTGGTGCAAGAATTATGCGTCAACCTAATAATATCATTCCAGTAGAGCCAAATTGGAGGAACCAAAAGAAAGTAAGTGAATAGAAAATTAAATAGAAGTGAATTCAAACTTAGATAAAAGTTCATGATCCGATAGTTGCTCGCTTTCACACGCTCACTTGATCTTTGGTGGAGCAGATGTGTAAGCAATGAAATCGCTGTCGAGAGCTAATGGAATGGGGTTTTTTGGCATTTGGGATCATTGAAATAAAATATATTCGTGATTGCCACTCACTTGAACATCGATATCTTATATATAAAGCTGAATGTCTGTCTGTCTGTCTGTATGTATGTATGTATGTCTGTACGTATGTGCGGAATAGAAATTTTTATTTCTGAACCGATTGGGACCGAACTTTGCACACATACACTTCGGTGCAGGGAGCATGTCATAGCCCACTTTTCGTTATCGATCGAGGAAGGCGCAATAACTTTGGGCGCGAACGCGTCTTTATTAGCCGCAGACATGAGGCGTACGCGCGCGCCGCGTTCGCGCCCGCTCAACCAGTACCGCTTTTGCGCCCTCGTCATGCAGCAACCTTTACTTTACATGTATTTAGTTTCAGTTCTTTGCCAAACGTTGTGAAAAATTTCTTAAAATTGCAGCTATTTTGTGATTGCCACTGTGCTAAAAGTTCGCACCGTAATCCTACACATGCAAAGAGAGATCAAGTAATTCATTCCATACTGTAAATTGAAGTTGAGACCAGTTTGATACAATGATTTCGATCTTTGGAAAATGGCAGGAGGGATATTAACAATAAAGCGGGGAAACATTTTTTAATTTCGTATGGGTTCAGTTGAATTTCTGACTCATCAATAGGATTCGGTCAGATGGATATCTTTTTGTAAGTATATACAAAGGAAACGAAGTAGGGGGTTCGCCACCAAATAAACAGGCTTGTTTACGCGTAGCTAGTAACATAACATAAAATTTCTGCTTATAGGCGCATGAGGGATTTGGTGTAGACAAATTATAAAACTTTGTGAATTTTCTGTGCTTATCATACTTGGACTGATAAGGGGGAGACAGCTGAGCCCATTCGCAAAGAATAACTTTTCTAGAGTTCGAATGACCTCTGCTAATTTTGTAAAACTCTAGAACCATGAATACACTAGTTTGCCTTTTGCTACCTATTTTTTCTTTGGTTTTTGTTTCCTCTTTAATTCTGTTCGCTGGGGCTTGCAGCTAACAATAAGCCTTTTGTGAAGGCGAAAGGGGTTTTGTCTCCAAACTTCCGGCTTTGGATTTGGAACAGACTTCTAAATTCGGTTGCGATGATGCATGCACTATTCAATGTACGAATGAAATTTTCATGGCCGCTTCTAAGGGGACTAGTCGAATGAGTTGAAGGAGGGCTTAAAAGAATTTCACGAAACGAATAATTGGCAGAATTATCATCATTTATGAGCCTTTTGATTGCCGCTGAAGAATCACAAACGTTCATTGAGCAGTAATTGACCTGAAGGTTCTGAATAAAGTAATCAATGCCCATGTTTTTGGAAGAGCAATGCGTTCTTTCGCTTTTTCGATCATAACATTTATAGAGATCCGAATAATCCGTCAGATGAGAAATGGTTCACGTTTGATCACTCCTACTGGTCACACGATGGCTATGAAGAAGGAAAGAATGGTTATTTATCACCGGTGGATGACAGATATGCTGATCAGGTGAGCTGGCAGATTTGTAAAATAAACTAGAATTATAGCTATCAACTTCAAATGACGCGTTTATTTTGTCGCAAAATTTATTTAGAAGCGCGTATTTGCTGATCTTGGCAAAGGAGTTCTTGACAATGCATGGGCTGGCTATAACTGTTCATTATTCGCATATGGCCAAACCGGAAGCGGAAAGAGTTATTCGATTGTTGGTTTCAAAGGCAATAAAGGTAACTGTGGCAAACTTTTTATAAAAGTAATAATTAGTCTGCGTCAGTTTTGTGGGAATGGAGGGACTACATTTTCGAGAAAGGGGTTGAAGAGTACTGCTAGATATTTTGCGAGAACCCTGATGTTATGAAAGGAAACGTATGTTTACCTACATTCTTCATAGCTACAGAATTACTCAACAAAGCAATTTGAAATATGAATAATTCATCAAATTGATCTACTTTACTGCGAATAGAAAAGAATCTTTGCGTAACATTATAGCCAATGCACAATTTTTTAAAAATTCGCAGGTACCTCCTATCGGGGAGCTTTTCAGAAAAAACGAAAACCCTAAGTATCAAAAATCGTTCAAACTGAAATTTGAACAGATGAAAAAATGATTATGTGTGTCTGCACACATTAGCGTAACTGTGGATGGTGAAATGGTCTTAACCAAAGTATGCCAAGAGAGCAGAAAAATTAAGTGTTATAAACAATGATATTACGAACACATCAAAAAACTGAACTACTATAATTTAAGTGCGATTAAATCCTTGACTTCAGGAATTGTACCAACGTTCTGCGAAGAATTGTTCAAGAAAATCGAAGAAAAGAAAGAGAAAGGGGGCCAGTTTGAGGTGTTCGTCTCGATGTTTGAGATCTACTGTGAGAAGGTTATGGCATCCATTGACTAAGCAAAAGTAAATAATGTTGTTGTCATTTTCAGATACGCGATTTGCTCTCGTCGAAAGAACCGCCAAAAGGTGGTCTAAAACTTCGTGAACATCCAAAAACGGGATTTTATGGTAATAAGGTTTATCCAGTATAGCACCGTCTATCGCCATTGACGCAGACAGCAGAAGGTGCACGTACACGCAAGGGTCTGCTCTGTCTGTGTGTCTTATGACCGCGTTGTCTCTTAGCAGAGAGCGTCGACTCGGAACAGCGCAACTTGTGCATTATCTGCGTCTTTGACTCAGGTGTAGAGAAACAACCGATGCTGTGGTTTTCATAATCATAATAATAAACAGAAAATCTCATGAAAACACCGGAAAATGGCAAGTAATTGAATCATTCATGTCTTTCATTTCAGTGGAGAACCTATCGAGTTCACCTGTAAATTCTTACAAAGAAATTGAAGCAAAAATGGAGGAGGGGACGAAAAATCGAACCATTGCTGCAACGAATATGAATGCAACAAGCAGCAGGTAGTTCTGCCGTCTTAAATGGGAAAAAATTGGATTTTTCTTCTGAGTGAGCGATGATACTATTCTCTAGGGCACACACAATCGTGAAGCTAATATTTGTGCAAAAATCGCCGAAATCGGGTGGCGGAACGACAACAAAGAAATCCGAAATTAATTTGGTAGACTTGGCTGGCAGGTGAGAACATGATTTCGCTAGGTTCATATAATCTACATTATTTGATGACAAAAAATTAATTGAGGATTTATATGATACGCTGATTATGTGATAATGAATTGAATGACGATTTCTACAACATTTTCTCTTCAAAAAAATCTCAGAGGTCTTCAAAAACTACTAATGTCCCAAAAATGTTGTCCCACAAAATTGATTAGTGGACAGATCATCAATAAGTGGATTATGCTAAAAAATTGATATATGAGGGAGAAAGGATGAAAAGTCAGAATTATTCAGAGTTATAGTATTAAAATTGTAAGACTTGCTTCTTATGTTGCCATTTAATAACATTTCTGAATAATTATCAGTGTATTGAAGAAAGTATTAGTATATAAGTACTGAAGAAAAATATGCATGTTTAATCAAATTTTTATTTTTATTTTTATTTTAGTTTACACTCACGGTGCACCAAAGAACAACAAAAAATAAAACTCTAACACGTCGAACAATAACATGATAACAGCTTGTCCATGGCTTCAGGGAGATAAACGATGGACGTATAAGCAACCACTAACCTAAGGCCCTTTAAGATATAGCGAAATCTGTTTCAAATGCCTGATGAGTGTAAATATGGCCTGAGAAACAAAGAATGACTGGAGAGTATTGCATCCTCCAAAATTATTCTGAAAACCCCTTTTTGAGTGCCAGCGAGCTTACGGGCGGAAACTAGCTGACAGACCCCAGATGAGTATACCTTTGGGAGGATAGCAAGACTCTAAGTTGAAGTGCCAGCTAAAGCTTGCCAGTAAGGCATAGAAGTAAGGCATAAGCGAAAGTAACCTGGGCGCTTAGGTGTGACTGTAATAGGAAGACAAGAGGTAAGAGGTAGACAAGAGGTAGACAAGAGGTAGAATCATGTACCCTGACATGCAAAGCAAGTTAATATGATCGTTAGTGAAGCAGGGTGTCTAAGTTAGTGGCAGTGAACAACGAAAATAAATAGCTGGGAAGAAATGACTCAATGTTTTTTGACTATGAAAAAATGAAGTGAAATGCATTTGCTACGTAGACTGGGTTGAAGATTTGACGAGGTATGGAGGGCTTGCGAGGTGTGGGCGACTTGACGACTTGACGACTTGACGAGTTGACGAGGTATATATGACTTGGCCAAGAATGAGCGACTTGAGCGACTTGACGAGGTACCACGACTTGGGGAGAAGTAAGAGACCTGACGAGGTATGGCGACTCGACAAAGTGGGCGACGTGACCAGGTATGGAAGACTTGACTAGGTAACGGCTTGGCGAGGCATGGAGGGTGGTTGGAACAATGGTGGATGGCGCACGTACTCATAGCATCTAAAAATCACAGATATCGAGTAGCTGTAACACATTAATATTTTGTAATCTTCTTTTAAAAATTTTGGAGTTTTCACTGGAAACGATGTAATCCGGTAGGACCGAAAACCATCGGGTTGTTCGACAAATGAAAGAGTTGAAAGTCATCAAAAATCGTTTTTTTCCCAATTTGCGATAGTAAAGACCAAACCTACCTGATCGTTCGCTACACGGTCTGAATATCCAAAACTTGCTGGCTTTGAGTCTTGTTTCTAAGCGCAGAATTCGAAAACACAAAGTCAGATCATTCAGAACGCGTCTATACAGTAGGCTCTGCAGGTTCAGTTTATTTAACCGTAACCGATAGGAGGGTAGAGCTTGTGGGTAATTAGGATTGGGAAAACATCTATAGAATAATATTCTGGTGAACGTTTTTTGGATTTTTTCGACTCTTTCGATGTTTCCTTTTGTGAATGGACTAATTGAAATTAATTGAAATTAATTGACATTTTGCGCAGTGAACGCCAGAGAGATGCAGGAACAGAAGGAGATCGTATGAAAGAGGGAATTGTCATCAATCAGTCATTATCAACACTTGGGAGAGTGATCAAAGCTTTGCATGAACAACAAGGTAGCAAAGGAAAGAAAGTGCAAGTAGGGATCTATCATCATTGGGAAGCATTGCCAGCTAATTTATAGGAACAATTCAGATTCCTTATCGTGATTCAGTCCTCACATGCTTGCTGAAAAATGCGCTTGGAGGAAATAGCAAGACGATAATGGTGAAGTTTAGAATGCTTCTTTATTTCAAAAATTCGAATGACCTCGTAGTTTGCTAGAGACAAATGCGCCGATTTTGCGAGTATCTGCGTGTGAAGATTTCTGAAATATACATTACTTTCTTTGTTTAGATAGCTGCAATATCACCGGCTGACATAAATTACGATGAAACGCTATCAACCCTCAGGTATAGTTGATTTTGTCATTGGTACCACCCAAATCGAAGAAGGAAACATGTTTCATAGTATGAAATCAGTCGAAAAAGGCATAAAATTACATAAGAAAAGGGAAAGTGAAAATTTTGAGAATCCATAACTCCCTTTTTGACTTCTAAAGAGATCAATCAAAAAACTGCAGAGCTTGAACCTTGTTCCCAGATTCGCTGATCGTGCCAAATCCATCAAGACGAATGCTGTTGTCAATGAGAATCAAACGGAACGTGTCATGAGGGAACTACGAGAAGAAAATGAACGCTTACAAAAGCAACTGAAAGCTGGAGGAGGAGCTGGTGGTGGTGACAGCGTACGGGAAATCTCTGACTTTTTTTGGAATTATCAGGGCTCGGCACGAGGTGGCTTACAAGCAAGCTGGGTATCCTTTTTGGGATGAAAAGCAAAGGGGGTTTCGTTTTTGTGACCCAAGAGACACGGGAAATTGGCGACGGCGACCTTTTTTTTTTAGTCGACGTTTCGTTTTTGGGGGATTTTGGGGAATTTTTTAGGTTTTTAGAGGAAATTTGGTTGAGGGTCAAAGGGGACTTCGTAAAAATACCCAAAAGTCAAGGGGGACTTCGTTTTTCGCATTTTCATCTAGCCACCTCGTGCCGAGCCCTGGGAATTATTAATCGAAAATAATTACTTCAGGAAGAAATTGAGTCATTACGTCGTCAGCTGGAACAAAATCAAAAAGAAATGGCAGAACTGGAAAAGACTTGGCAAGAGAAAGTGGCCGAGGAAGCTGCAAAAGTAACATGAAACAATACCTCAAAAAATGACATGTTTTAGTTCTTTTTATTTTGAGCTCAAAAACGTCAAAAACGGAATATACACAAACAAATGTCCACGCCAAGATTTCTAATCACTCCAAATCAAAAAATTATTTTATTTCAGCATAATGCCTCAGCTGAGCGTTTGGCCATCATGAAGCAAAGACAAGAAATTCCTCACTTGTGGAATCTTAACGAGGATCCAGCGCTTACAGACGTAATCGTTCACTTTTTACCGCCAGGGGAGGTGACTATAGGTAAGTTTTTGCTGGCAGTTGACCGTTACTTTATTTTGGAGCACTGCTCTTTGTAGCTCACATAGAAGGGCCTAGTCAATGGAGCAAACAATGTGAAAAAAAAAACTATTCAGGGAACAAAACGGCAGAACCTGCGCCCATGGTGCAGCTCAATGGACTATCCATCCTGCCACAGCATGCGATTGTGCAAAATACAAAAAATAAGAAGTTGATTCTAAAAGTTTGTGAGGTTAGTGTTAGAGAGCAGAGAACAACATCGCGGTATCAGGCAGTGTTTGAAGAGTTACTATCTATTGAAACACTTTTATCACAATCTAAAAGTGCTTTTTGGGAAGCGATTCTGGATTTTTCACAGTAAGAAACTGCATCATCACGGTAGACGTTGATTATGGACGGTTTTTAATACTTTGCCGGTTTAGGGAGCAGAAGTCCTTGTCAACGGGAACAGAATCACAAAACCAAAGGAGCTTGCGCAAAACGACAGGTGTGCTTTGATGAAAATGTTATTGTTTTTTTTCAGCGAAACGAGATAAATTGAAACAAATAGGAAAGTTTCTATCAGCATTTTATTTTTTCTAACACTAAGTATTATAAAAAATGTTCTTGAAGAGTAAGGCATCTATGCGAGGAATATCCTATGTCCTTCAGAATATTGTTTGGAGGAAATCATCTATACGTTTTCAACAATCCCAACAAGAGTGGAGCGCGCAAGGATATCACCTATGAAGAGGCACAGAAGGAAATTGCCAAAGGGGCTGGGATCGGAATTTCGTCAGAGGGTGGAAAGAGCAAAGGTGAGATAAATGTAATTTACAACTCAATCGAGAACACTAAGAGAATGTAAGTAAGCCAAATTCAACTTTCGCTTTTCGTTATACTCTAGCTTCATCATACTGCCAAAAAACATGAGCTGTCATTTCGAAAAGAGATAATAATTTTCAGCTGACCTCATACTTGAAGAAGAGCTTGTTTCAATGATGCCATTGGTCTACCGAGCCAATGCTATGGCCGTGGAACTAAAGCGAAACGTAAAATTTGAGTTGGTGCTTGTTTCACCCGAGATGCGAGGTCTGCAGGAGGGACTCACTGAGGTCGGTAGTGAAATGAGATCGGCTTATTATTCTTGTTTCTTTAATGTGGATTGATTTTGTTTCAGATCTGGGTCAGTGTGCACAATCTTAGTGAAGACACTAGATTCATGTGGGAAAAAGCAAGATTCATGAATCGCTACTATGGTATGCAAGAGATGTACGAGAACAAACAAGATGGTGAAGAGTGGAACATGCCGAAGGTAAAATTTCTCAGCAAAAGTAATGTTTAACAACAACAAAAATGAAATAAAAATATTATTCAACATTTTAGAAAAAATAGAATGAATAAGAAACCCCTTTTATTGTTTTCCATGTTCGATTGCCGATAAAAACCCTATCATTGTTGTTTTCAAGGAATCAATTCACGTTTCGCAATTTCCTTTGCTAATCCAAAATAAAAATTTAGTATGTCGATCATTGTTGTTTCATTGCGAGAAAAAGGAATATCAATATTTATATGAATGATATGAAAACATTCTTCATTACTGGCATAAGCGAATTAACTTTATTACTATTATTTTACTATTACTTATTACTACATTGTCATCACGCACAATTTTTAATGGTGTTTGTCCTTGTCACCAAACAATCGTTGAGGAAAATGGCCCACTTTGAATATATTTTGCACTTTTGCTTGACTCTTACAAAATGCTTTGTCTTGTTTCTCAGTTTTTGTGTTTTTGGAGATTCGAATACACTAATAAAAATCCAAATTCAACCGATTGTGATGAACAAAATCTTTCCTCAGGAGCGCGATCCATTCTACGAAGCACCCGACTCAAAAAGTTTCTTGGGATCTGCTATCGTATTTCTGCAGCCACTTGCTTATCTGATGGACTCGGAAGAAACATATCCTATAGTGGACTTCACAGGTATTATTCCCTATGATATTCCCTTATTCTGAGCATAGGAAGCGAGATGTAAACAAAGATTTGCAAAAGAGAAAAGATGCACGAAGTCAGTTTTGTAGGTGAAGAACTTGGAGAATTGTCGGTGCAACTATCGCCTTGTGATTCATCTGGTAAGGAGCTGATTGGAGATTACGTCAACAATCCAAGAGAAATAGTAAGCCTAATCATTAAACCATGCATAGCACCCTCCTCTTGAAGGGTTACTTTAGATTGGCCAAAACTACGGTTTTATGATAAAAATACAATCCGCCAGAGGACTTCCGCGCAGGATTGACAAGGTACTTAAGGCAATGGCTGTTCGAAAACTTTTTTTTGTGAAATTGAAAGAACGTATGAAGGGACTTATGGTTAGTCATTTCCTTAAAGGAGAATATGCAAAAGTTCCCCACTGTTTTCGCCAAAGTCCCTATAGAAAATCAACCGGAATGTTTCAAGTTCTACAAAGATAGAACTATTAGGTCGGTGCAAAAGTTTTGTCAGTTTTTTCAATCCATCGGCGATCACGCTAGAATGAAGATAAGCAAACACTCCAAAATGTGTCCGAAGCAGAAGTTCTTCCTCTTTCCATCTGCTCAACTCCCATTGTGTTTCGTTGCGAGAATGACGAGATATATGCTGGAAATTACTACTGCTCGTTTTTACCATGTCCAACTTTGACTAATTTTTAAAGTTTTTGTATGGGACTTTCGAAGGAGCACTAATAACTAGCAGATGGGGCAAACCTTTTGCCAATCTATGCAATTTTTCTTTTTCCAACTGCGTTTTCAGATTTTTGCTAAATAATTTTCCAAAAGTCTTGTCTTGTGAAAAAATCGCATAACCTGTTATTGCACCAAACACTGCAAAATCTACATAATACAGAGGTTTCAACACTCGATTATTACTACTACTAGCATTACAAAGTAAATGAGCGATTTTCGCTTCAAATTATGAAGATTTTGAAACATAGGTTACGTCAGTGCACACCCCTGAAATTGAGAATTACTGCAGAATTACTATTAATTTCCCCATAAATTTCGCCTGTCTCGGCAAAAAAAGACAAGTGTTAGAAGGAGGAGAAAAAGTTGCATCGACTGGTGACTGAAGTGTTCAACATTTTATGTTCTACGAAGTTAAAATAGGCTGAATTTAAAATTAGGTCACTTCAAAAAATAAATCGTAGAAATTCGGAAAGACAAGCCATAGGGCTACAAATGAAAGCTTTTGTTGGCAAAAGGTTTGCCCTATCTGCTGGTTATTAGTGCTCCTCCGAAAATCTCATACAAAAATTTTGAAAATTAGCGAAATTTGGACGTGGTAAAAACGAATGGTTGCAATCTCCAGTGAAAATCTCATCACTCTCTCAAAGAAACACAATGGGAGTTTAGCAGCTGAAAAGAGGGAGAAATTCTGCATCGGACACATCTTGAAGTGTTAGTTTATCTTCATTCTGACGTGTTTACCGATGAATTGAAAAAACTGACAAAACTTTTGCACCAACCTAATATATAAATTATTTACAGATAGAAACAAAACTATTTGCGTTTATAACTTATCTAGTCCACACTTCAAGATTTTACATCGAAATTTCGACTGTACTTTTTTCAGAGTTCCTGCAAATATTGTTTTTTCGAAGGCAGAGAAGTTAACACAGCACTAGTAGCGGGCAATAATCCATCTTATCTGCATGAGCAGACATTTCAGTTCAAATCTGTGTCATCTGAGGTAGGAGTACCTTCAAAAAATATTGAAAGCATTGAAAGTTAGTCCTCTTAGTTGGCAGACTACCTTCTCAACTCTAATCTATGGATCACCTTATGGGGAACACAAAGAGCTAGGCAGTTGCATACTCAAGATACAGGCAGAAGACCATCGGCTACAGTTTGTGGTCTTATATTTAGTTTGTATTTTTCGCTGAATATAGGATACTTCCAGAACGCTGAAGTAAGGCGACCGTCGAAGAAGAAAAAATTAGTGAAAAAGGCGAAGGAAGCAGGAGAAAATAACGAAAACAGTGAAGTAAAAATACCGAAGAAACCAAGAGGACGTAAGGGAAGCCGGGAAAGCGAAGCGCTGAGGGTGCTAGAGAAGGCGGACGAAATGGAAGAGATCGACTTGAAGAAGAGGTAGTTTAGGCAAAACACTGTCTTGTGATTGATTTTAGAAAAATTAACCTATATTTTTTTATAGCTCCACACAAGAATCTGCAATTTTATGCGTTGTAAGAACTTGCTAAACTGCGTGCATCCCATATTGATGAGATGCACGCAGTTTAGCGATTAGGGTACCGTGCCTGGATCCGTTTGCGCGGCACTCTGAAATGCATGCACAACAGTTCGTATATGTGGTTTCGCGCTGAGAAATATTGAATTATTATCAATTTCTCTACAATTATTAACTATTAATATTATTACAATTTGTGTCGACTTGTCGGCACCTTCCTTACAACCATATCGTTACTCCTGCTAAGCACCGTAAAGGGGGTGCGTATCGTTACGTGCGGGCTGCTCATTGGAAAAGGTCGCGCGCGACAGGCTGCCAGTGACTGCACTCAGGAAATTCGGCTAGCATGATTTTCAGCACACACTTTCTCAATCCCTCCTGCTTTGTTGAGGTTCACAGACTATTCCCATATTAGTTTTGCTCATTTATTCGAAGTTACCCCACAAAACTTGTAAAATTAGCACTTTAGAGGACAAAAAAGACACAAACTGTTGAATGTAAAAGACTAACAGTATAGAAAAAGCATGGATGATCTAGGTATATAAATTTGACAATTTTGCTGCACTACTTCTCCCCGCGCGCTGCCGCATCGCGACGTTTTCCAATGGGCAGCCCGCACGTAACGAGCGCCCCCTCCCCCCCCCCCCGTAAAGGTCATGCCATAAGCATGACCTGCTGTGATATGAGTGTATTAGTGCCCAGAAGTTTGTGATACTACTTTACCACGCCTTCAATCCTCAGCATTCTACCACTGCACGAATGGGTGTCATCGACTGTTCAATAAAGCTCTAATAGCTTACGTGTTCTAATGACACACCAGGAGCCACCATACTCCACTACAGGCGCCACCCATCCGCCTAAGGCTACAATAAAGCCTACAGCCTCTGGCCACGCCAGAACCCCTGCCGATGGCGGCCCCCTTTCTTGCATCAGGGGCGGGGCGCGTAGCCCCGCACTCTTCGTTTTGCGCTCTCCCGAGCACCTTGTCAATATCCTGATAAACATAACCACTGAACCACTTTCTTATTGTACTAAAAAGGGCCTGCCATACGCGCCCTGTACACATTAGGCTATACCATAAGCCTCAAGTCGCCACACAATTGTTATTTATTAATATTAATTTTTTTTTACAGTGTCGAACACAGGCCACGCAAGAAGAGCTCATCAAAAACAAGACGACCGAAGAGAGCAACATCGGCTGCTATACAATGAAACGACGCTTGAAGCAGTTTGCTGCTCTAATATTTAATTTGCCTATATTTATTTTTTTGCAATCAGGCGAATCAATAAACAAGTGCATGATGGCGTTGGAAGTGTATCGAATTGTTCGATTTAGTACTGGACTTGCGTTAGTAGCATCTGGAACATTGCCGCTAAAATATTAGTCGTCCCGAAAGTTCTGTCGCTTCATTTTAGAAATCTCGTAACTTCTCGCTGTCTTAGTCGATTCCCTTGTTTGTCTTTTTATTGGAAAGAAAAAGTTTTTCGCTTCATAGTAATATCTTCGATATCCTATCAAACACTCACTACAGAGATAAAAATGAAAAAAAACTCGAGCTTCGATTTAGATAAGTCGCCAAAAATCTGGAATTACAGAAAACTTTAGATTTATGAGTGCATATGTTTTATGACCTGCCCTACCTAATATACTTGGGTAATTCGAAAATTTTTCATCGAATGAATGAATATCGAATAAATTCGAAAATGAAAAATTCCGAATAAACGAATATCGAATAAATTCGAAAATGAAAAAAACCCGAATGAATGAATTTCGAATAAATTCGGAAATGAAAAAAACTCGAATGAATGAATTTCGAATAAATTCGGAAAATCAAAAATATCGAATGAATGAATATCGAATATATTCGAACATTGGGAGTCGAATTTCGAATAGATATTCGAATGATTTTTCGAATAATTACTGCAACATATCTAAAACTTGCTGACATTTCTGGCTAGAACCGATTCATTCATAATCAGCACCCTCATATCCCCTACACCAACTCCTAGCTCCGTAGCTCAAAGTTTTTCAAAAATCGATAAAATCGATAAACAAAAATTCTTTTCATAATCAGCACCCTCACTTACCCCCCTGTACCAACTCCCAGCTCCGTAGCTCAGAGTTTCCCAAAAATTGATAAATCGATAAACAAAAATTTTATTTATAATCAGCACCCTCACTTACCCCCTGTACCAACTCCCAGCCCCACAGCTTCCTTCAAATCGATAAAATTAGTCGGTTGGCAACTAGTCTCAAGCTTTTCGTATGTTTTTGTGTAACTAGTATGTGTGATGATCTGGCGATTGTTTTGCCTTAGAAGACTGACTGATCGCTGTTAATGTCACTTGCTTTCTAGCGAGAAGCTACGCGTAGTTGTTCTTAATCGCGCATGCTATTTTTGTCCGTGTCCAGAATCCTTCTCAGATTTTTCCATATTCTCTTCTCTCGTCTATATAGTTTCACCGATCCCGAGTCTATATAGCCTTTTCACTCTGCTGCCTTTCTGTTGTATCCACTGTAACTATACACACACTTCCGCATATAGAGGCGTGGCGTGGCTACGGTCATACAGATGAAATGATATTGCCTCTACAAGCCAACGCTAAGCAGCTATCCTGATAACGAAGCATATTCTCTTTCTTATGTTTATCCAGACTCTTTGCTTTGTAATGCTTTTTTCTAATTAAATCAATGAAGTTCACTTTGATCTACTTCGACGTTCAGAAAGATTCGAGACTGAATTAGAGATTAGTTTCTTAGAAGGCCTATTCAGAGGCATGTCAGATTCATAGCAAAATTAAAGTTAGTAGCCAGCTGTCTGGATTCTTTCAAATGAACAAATAGGATTTCATGGGAAATCAGTACAAGCTGTTTTCGAGAATAGATTAAAAGTTAGTACAAAAAATAATCATCAGCGATTTCCACTGATCTATAGGTATTCAGTAGTAACATGCAGTGATCCTTGCGCGTTATGCACCGCAGGGTAACCGCATTTGTGCACCTTGATCCTGCCGCTTTGTTCGACAGCAGACCTCACTTGTCAGGCGACCACTAAAATTCAAGGGCAGTTTAGCAGAGTAGCAGCAAATGAAATTGGCTGGAGCTGAAATTTAAAAATGAGGCTGGCACACGCTATACATCTGTGGTGAGCTGGCGTTACATCTGAAGACATCTGTAACTCATTGATCGAAAAAGCATCAATTAAAATCCACATTTATGTTTTTTGATGTCGCAAGCGGAAGTCGGAAGAATGCGACTTTCCATACAGTTCAAAAGTCGTTACGGTTGCAAAAAAAGATGCATTACCTGGTCTTGTAAAAAAATACGAAAACGAAGCGAGCTTGGTACTCACAGTTGGCTCTGCAACAAACTCGAATAATTTGGATACGGAGTTCATTCGAATACGAATTCGAATAAACATTCGAATAAAACATTCGAATAAAATCTATTCGAAAACCCGTTTTTCGATTATTCGAGTTTTCGAATATTATTCGAATCCTCGTTTTTTGATTATTCGAGTTTTCGAATTTTATTCGAAATCCTGTTTTTTGATTATTCGAGTTTCGAATTTTATTCGAAACCCCGTCTACTCAATTATTCGAGTTTCGAATATTATTCGAAAATGGAAAAACTCCGAATATCGAATTTTCGAATCGAATATATTCGAATGTTTTATTCGAATGATCGAATTTCTATTCGATTCGGACCCAAGTATACTACCTAAGCGAAAAACAGTTGTGTTTTTTTAACAATTCTGAAAAAGTCTCGAGTTTACATGACAAAACGCCAAAATTAATTATTTTGTCACTTTTCTCCAAAATTATAACAAGACAGCAAGAAGTTACGCGAAAAAATGACGCTACAAAACTTTCGGAACAACGTAATATTTCTTCTCTAGAGTAGTCACAATCTTCATATAAGAAAAATAAAACCTCATATATGCTAGCACGTTTTGCTAAGTTTATGTTTCCAGAATTCTTTGGAATTTTATGCTATTAGAAATTTTGTAGACATCTGAGCTGTCCGATTACCTTCCATCAGTAGAAGTAAGAGACAATCCTGGGTAGGAGTAACGATCCAGGTCCTGCCGTACCTTTTTTCAAACTCGCTAACGCAAGGCATAACAAAAGGTTTTTCGTAGAGCATGACTAACGCCACGCTTCTTCAATAGGAATAAATGTCGGTACTACCACCCCCCCCCCCCACCCCTTTGCCCGGTAGATATGAGGTCTGAACCTGTTCCAAACCTATTGGACTGGAAATAGATTTTGCATCAAAAATGTTGACAAGTATTCTTCTGCAATCAATGAATAGATTTTTTGTAGATAAGTTGGAGGAAAAACATGCGACTGCTATCATGGCGGAGAAAAAAGCTACTAAAGACAAATACTCGAACTAGATTCCTTAGGAATTCCCTTGCTGAGTAGGTACAAAAGCTCCAACGGCATATCAAAGCTCTTTACCAAAGATACCATTCCAAAAATAAATTACTATACACGCATAATCAATGGATTTCTCAACAAGGCTTTCAAATAGATCCAATCCGATGAAAAACTGCAAATCCATCCCGTTACAAAAATACTCATGAACAAATCATGAAAATAGAGTAGATATCACATTATCAAATCTTCGCTGAGACTTTCCCATTCGTTTTGAATCTCTTGAGCTAAAATTGACTAAGGGTTGTGCACATAAAAGATATGGGAAGAAAAACTGTGTCACATCGTAACATCATATCAACAATTTCATCTCTAGGCGGGTTCATTAAAAAGGCTTCACACTCAATGATATCTGGCAAGATCGGCTGATTTTCTATAGTCAGAATCTACTCATCTTCCACGCCCCATCCAAAACCACCCGGTCGTTCTTCTTCGGGCACAGGATCTGCTTGTCGTTCATCAAACAACCATTTCAACCAGCCTGGTGTCTTCAGCAAACGTGTACCATGCTGCTGGTATGGGAACACATCTTCGAGGAAGAAGTAGAAGTGCCCGCATGCAATACCTGGAACAAGCGTTTATACTAACGGCGCAATTGATGGAGATTTTGTAAACTTCGTATGCAGTTTTTCAAATAACACCGAATATTGCTGTAAGCGACTGCTTGCTCCACAAAAAGAGAAGCGGTTTTGTTTAGTGTTCCAATGTTGAGCTCCTTCAAAGAAACAATCGGGTGTCATTTGTCTTCATGATAGAGACAGGGGCTTTTGTAGACGCTGTGTCCATCATGAAGACGCTGTAGGCACTCCACGTCAAGTGCTCTTTCATTCCTTGCTGTCACTTTCAAACATGAACTATCTCAGTTACACAATGGTGCCCATTCTCTGCGTGCAGTGACTCGCCTATACCTGAGACAAAATCGACTCACCCATGAAATCGACGATGGCATTGTTTCCAAGAAGAAGTGAGAAAAGCAGTAGGACCCATGGTAAATAAGGAGCCGTGAAAGACAACACGCCAAAAAAGTTCATCTGAAATGACTGCAACTCAGAATACAATGACTACCAAATCGTATCACGAAAACCGATGCCCCTTTTAAAAAACTCATAATGCGAGTAAGTTCAAAATATGTAGATTCTACGATCAAAGCAAAATGAAAACGTAAGATGAAATTTAGTATAGAGTGAGCCATTCGAGCTGAGTTTATTACGAATCAATACAGAGAGCGCTTCTTATCTCGATAAGCTCACCTGAATATGAGGATTACGTCTACTCCAAACGTATACTAGCATAATCGTAAATGCTTGTCCAAGAAAAACCATTTGTACGAATATACCGCACAATATCTGAAGAAAAATCACAAGCAAAAATTTTTCTACCAAAGCAAACCATAAGGATGAGCAAGCCTAACCATCAGAATTCCTCCTAGCAAAAACATGTAAACGAAGTCAGCTCTCCTTCCGCGGAAAGAACCTTCTTCTAACATCATGCAGTACCGGTAGGTGAAAATCATGTTGAACATGAAGCTAAAGCCAAATGAGCCGAAAAAGCAGAACGAAGTGATGAGTCGCCATAACTGAATATAAGAGAAACATATATGAATGTGAAGATTAGGTTTTGATCAAAAATATTGAAGCTTTCATAGAAAAAAAACTGCACAAAGTTCCCGAGCAAGCACAAACGACTTACCTGATATCGCTTCACAATCAAATCCCAGTTAAAATATAGGTGGAAGGGAGTGATGAAATCGAGCTGCTAAAAGAAGAAAATTATCATCCCGTAAAAGTTAGAGAACTCACATACCACAGCCAATGTCGTCAAAACACATGCAGTTGTATATGCCCGCGTTACGGGCGGCATCTCGGTGTAAAGATCTATCAAATTTTGCATCTGAAACACTGGATTAGAAGCCACAACTAAAACTGACTATAGAGATATTAAGTATCGAAAATATCAAATTCTCTACGAACATCTTGCTTGAGGAGATACCTTTATATCTGAGATAATCTGTACGGATACGGAACATGAGATACCAAATCATCATACTTTCCTAATTTTAAGGCTAGACTAGGCTCAATAAATCGTTAAATGAAAGTTGTAATCCTACCGGTACGAACATATCTATATTAGCAGATACAAACATTAGTACGACGTATATACAAAACAAACAACAACGAACAACTGAACAACGATAGAAAGACTAAAGAAAGCCTGCTCAGGGAGTCAAAATCGTGCTCTTGCTTCCTGCCAACTGGGTAAGTAATTTGTTAAGTCGCTCCACCATGCCACTGGTGTCTTTTAAAAGTCCAGATGTGATCAAGGCGTTGTCATAGATCTGGAAAATTGCAACAAAATTTACCACAGCGCAAAGAAACGTACTGAAGGAAAACAAGAAAATGCTCGGTCATAAAGAAAATCTTGATTGATCCTCGCTCAGATACACTTTGCGACGTTATTTCAACCAAGCTCCCCAAAAGTCAAACTATGAAAATATAATTACAATGATTTTCCAGATACAGTGGCTGCGTCCCTCAGACGCACAAAGATGGAGCAAGTTGAATGCGAGGACTTCTAATGAATGACCCTATTACCCCGTTTTCACTATTCCTAAACGGTACAATCGGGTTACCTGCGAGATAAGCAGCTCAGCCGTCTTTGGATCTGTCCTCTTCATGGTAGATAAACTCTTGATCAATGGATGTGAGAGATTTACATGGAGGCAGGGTTGAAGAAACACCTAAACTCTCTTTACTGTGGAGCTCTTATGAGAACGATTCTACGACAAAATAGGGACAAATTTCAAATTAAAAAAAGGGTTCACCAAATGCTCCATATCCTTAATTTCTCCGGTTCGAAGTAAGTGCCTTGCCGCACCCATTTCATGCTTGATCGTAAGCATCACAGGATGTTCACTTGGTCGGTGGTTGCCGGCAATTTCGTGTACCTTCAAACCGATATTTGAGCTACACTTAGCCAAACACTTGCAAACTCTACCTTGACTGAACCAAGAGTGTTCTTAATCCAGTCTAGCAAATCTTTCTTGTCAACATCGCGGAACACTTCTGCAATGCAAAAAAATAGCTATCATCATAAGCACGCAAAAATCACTCACTTCCTTCTTTTTCCTTATCTCCTTCTTTTGCCGCAGCGCTCTCAGCCCATTTCTCTACACCAACTAGAGGCTTCATATCGAACTGCTGCAGGGCAAGGAAAACAACCTAGATATGTAAAACATGTTTATGATCCCAGTAAAACTGGCACATGCAAAAAACCTCGTCAGCAGGCTCATACAAGTATAGCACTTCCCTGTTCTGGGATCTAACCAGTTCAAAATACGGTGATGACTCCGCCAAATGTCGGCTAAAAATGAATATCCAGTACGCCGTAAAAAATCTATATCAATAAAAAAGTTGTTATTACCTAGGCGAAAACATGTAATAAATCTCTTTTTGATCCGCTTGCATTCTTTTGCAGTACTCAGACAGGTTCGTCAGGTTGCCAGCTTTCAGGTTGGAGGATTCGAAAAGCATGAGTTTCGCAATAGACTCCTTCAAAACAAGAAACCTTGATAACCAGAAAACAAGAAACCAACCATGATAGTTAACTTACCTTATCGGAATGATCCATTTCAGTAACAATGCCTTCTTTAAGAAAGAGACTATACTGCTTGTAGAAATCCGCATACTTCACGCTATCCTTCTTCATTTCGCTGTGCAGATAATTCAAGATCTTGTCCGTAAGAATTTTGCGCAACTTCCTAAAAAATGAACATATTCAGGGAAATATACTCAGAAATGCTTAGCATAGACTCATACCTCAATACAGGGTTGTTTTGGAGCATTTCACGACTGAGATTCAAAGGTATGTCTTCTGAGTCTACGACACCCATAATGAAGTGGAGGTAGCTACAAAAAAGTTACGGTTGTGGGATTACTGCTAAAGCTATAAAAGTTGATGTTCAGATAAATGAAACAGAAACTCTCATGAAAATTGTGGCCATGACTGGTGATGCTTTTTTGGATAAGAAGAACTCTTTCTGAACACTCAGAAAAGCATAAACTTAGTGAGCGATTTCCACTGCGGATACATTGCTAATTTCACAACGTGACAATCAATTCAGTATAGAGAATTGACTCACGGTGACAAAACAGAAGGATATGTCAAAGAAGCTGAATCAAGAAAACACGACAGCAAGTGAAGTGACGGCAGAAGAAGTTGGGAAGTTATAAATAACCAGCCAACTCACTTTGGCAAAAGCTCCTTCGCATTGGGCTTGATCAGCACTCGTCTAGCGTACAACGACAAACCACAATCTCTGTTCTGAGCCTGAGCCGCGTACTCTAGCATAGAAAACTTATGTTGTGGTATGTACAGCACCGATCGAACGGACACCGGAGTGTCTGTCTAAAAAAGGACTACGACAAGGCGAAAAAACTAGTCATCATAGGAGATACCTTGTAATGAATAGTATAGCAGGGCCTCTGGAACTGAGGACGTTTTTGCTGTTTGGCAAGTTGTCTGGAAATGCCAGACTTGAGGAGGAAGAAAGATATTGTATTAACTTACTTGAAGAAAGTCTCGTGCATTTCCTTGGTAACATCTTTTGGCTGCAGAGTCCAGATGGCATTCAGACTATTCACTCTCTCGCCATTAAGAAGAATTGGAGCAGCAACGAAATAGGAGTACTTGTCGATAACCTGTGAGCGAGTAGAGTTTCATTTCAATTTCATCAATGACTCGGTCGCAAAATGACGCTAGACTAGGAGAAACTTTCTCACCTCTTTTACTCGATCAGCCTTACAAAATTCAGCTGAATCTCCTGGTTTTAGATGTATCACGACGCGAGTACCAGTCGGTAAGCCAGGTTCATCAGCGAGTACATATGAATTGCCCCTACAACACCTCGACTGAACTAGATCTGGAGACGTAGGAAATGTAAAAAACGTAAAAGAATTCAGGTACGTGCATGTGAGAAAATATAACCAAGCACAAACCCGTTCCAAGTCCATTTCAGTCCTTTCTCATCCGGCTGACCCACTTTTCTGCTAGTCACGACGACCGAATCGGCCACCATAAAAGCGGAGTAGAATCCTACTCCGAACTGACCGATCACAGCTTCGGCATTCTCTTTGTTCTAAACTATCATCAATCAGATGTGTTGAATAGGTAGAGAAGTACAAACTTTTGCAGCAGCGGTTCAAAAACTGACCTTTTCGATGAACTCTTTGCTACCGGATTTTGCGATTGTTCCTAGACATTCCACCATATCTTCCTTATCCATCCCAATTCCAGTATCTTCGAAGGTGATCGTGCGCTGAGCCTAAAACCTTTGATTTTAAGGAGAAAACAATGAAGAACCGAAGCGCAACGCTACCTCATCGGTGGTGACTCGGATTTCACTGGGTCCTTCAGCAATCTGTCCGGTCAACTCAGCACATCTTCTCTTCTCCAACGCATCAGAGGCATTTGATATCAGCTCTCTGACAAACACCTAAGTTCAAAATTTCGGATACTAAATCACAATGTACAGCATCGTTATGATTAGTGCAGATAAAAAGAAACCGAAAACTGACGCCAGCTCTCAACGGCCGGGTACACATCACGCGATTTCATCGCCTCGTGATTCTCTCAACAAGACAGCTATCACCAGTTCATTGCATGCTGTTCAATCTGAATTTCGGTTGTGATAGTTTTCAAGCATGAATGACTAAAGGGCCGGGCATACTTCACGCGATTTCAGTCGCGACGCGATTTGACAATTTGCCACAACTCTTCGGACCCAACACTAGCAGACTGCACATGTATAGTGTGTATAACTTACTCAGATTGATAGAACGCCCTATCTTCTGTACATTTAAAATGTGCCCTTAGTAATTTATGGACAGCTGGAATATTGCCAAATCGCGTCGCGACTGAAATCGCGTGAAGTATGCCCGTCTATTAAAGCGACAAACTATCATAACCGAAGTGCAAGATGACTGGCATGCAATGGATTTGTAACACTTATCTTGCTGGAAATATTACGAGGCGATGAAATCCCGAGACTGCCCAATCCTTTACAGGCACTGACTTGATAAGTTCCCAGCACTGAATTAGCTGTGTTATATGTAGTGCTCTATAGCTAGTTATTTTCTTATAAATAGGTTTTTCTGATATTTCTGAAGCGAAAATTAATAGGGCGTGACGAGAACAATTCGGAATGGTCGGCTGCAGCAAATCAGCCAATCGCTGCTCAAAGCATTGGCTGCTGTCATCGCGTCCATTCAATAGCCCATATCCCGAACAAAAAAGCTATGTTCAACACCTTAAACCTGCCTAAACGCTGCCTTCGGATCACTTTCTGAAGGCCGCGACTTTACTTGATAGGGTGCGGCACATCCAGGGAAAAGCAAATCATGCCCATAGTTGAATTTGAACTCTTATAACTAGGCTCATGCTGATTACAAAGCCTCGCTGAAACCAACTCACTCTTTTCTTCCAAAAACTTACGAATTATACTTCGCGCGAAACGATCTTTGAAGAAAAGCTCAAAAGTCAAAGGAGACTTGTTAATAAAATCGCAGCAAGTGATAATCTGTTAGAAAGGGACATTACAAGAGTATTAATTCTCCAATGCCTTGATTAGGCACGCGCCATACTTGCCGCTTCATCCACTCTGCTATTGGTCAAGCCATCAAATTGACCAATGGCGAAGTGGACCAAGCGGACCACGCATGGCCATGCCTTAGCCCACGGAAGTTTTATAAGCAGATTCCCCATAATATTCCTCAGTGCACAAACCTCACTGTCCGAATAAAGCGACTTTGCCACAATATCCATGAGATTTCTAGTTTCCGCTTGGAATTCATGTCGTTCCGCCGCCGCAGCAGTGGCCTCGTGCCGTTTCAGGATGTTGCAAGGTTGTCGAGGCGTAGCAATTTGCATTATGCTTAGAGGTCGTAACGCAGTCGTGACCATACTCCGACTTCTATGTAAAGCCACTCTGCCCAATGCATGTCGTATTGTCCACATGCTCGATCACCCTGAAGAAAAAACGCGTCATTCCAGCAAGGGACCAATCTAATTTGGGCGAAATAGGTCATCAAATTAGAGTATTTTGAGAGAAATGTGCAGCTAAGACATCTTTCAAAAGCAATATGCACTTCGACAGACATTTCTGAAATGTGAAACCTGTCATAAAAAGTTGGAACTTCATCAAATCCTACGGTGCAAATCACTTTGTGCAACTGCGGACATCCACGTACTTTTGAAAAGTTGGGAAAAAAAGAAACACCGTCATGGAGATCTCGGTAAACATGCTGTTCCGTAGAAACATGCACTGTTAGAGATTGTTGGTCCTCTGCTCGAATTCAATATGCGGGGTGTGGGGGGGGGGGGGGGGGGAAGCTAGGATGAGAGAAGTAGACGGCGTGTTTTACAAAAGTGGGATGCAGGCGATACATTCTCGGGTATTTGGGTACTTCCGTTTCCATTGACTGTATTACCCGCATCCTCCCCTTCATGACATCCTTTAAGCAAACTAAGTAGTAAAATCAAGCTCTCACACTCTCAATCTACCCTGTTTTTCTTTTTGCCGTGCTCCAATTGCTCTCTATGAACACCCAAAATCTGGAAGAGGTGGACTGTAACTGAACTTTTGGTAATCTGCAAGTTTTCTTGCTTATAATTTTATAGAACTTGTCGAAGTTTCCTTTGAAATATTTGATCGGGTGCTTCAGAGGTCCATTCCAGTGGCCATATTCATCAGCGAACCCAGTGGGTAGGCTTAAAGGTAGTGTCCGGGCAAAAGTAGATTTTGAGATTTTGTGCTTAAACGGGGCCTATTCGCTATGCTGAATCCGAAAACCCGCACTGGAGAGCGCGAAAAAAGGTTCTAACGCAGGAGGGTAATCAAGAGGTGGGCGCGGTCTTGCCCACGGCGAATTCACGCTCCCAGTCTCCAGGAGCGATCTGCTCGATTCCGCTAGCCGTTCTGACATCTAAGGCTTGAGATATACCTGTCGATGGAGGTATAGCGGGTGTTGGCGAATCGCTGATGTCTGCGCTGCCCTTAGCTGCTCCTGGCTGCTGCGCTGGGTATGCTGTGGGTGCAAGAACGAAGTAGCTTTACCCATTACTATGCTTAGCTTAGGTTGTTAAGGAAAGTAAGTCTTGACGATTACCAAAATTGAGAAATGATATGAGACCCAAAAAAGTCGTACTTTATCAAGAAATTTTCTTTATAACAAGCATAAAATGGCGTGCCAAATGTTGCATAAACTGAGAAAATTTTAATCATTTGACAGATATCAAGCGAGTGTCACAGTTGGACCTTGATGTGTGCTTGAGGCAACATCTAAACTATCTAGGTCATAGCAGACGTTAATTTGTTGAGGTATAGTAGTAATATCCCACTGAATCGTTTGAATCCTCTAGCTTTTCATCGTTACTCTAGTTTGACTACGCAATTGATCAGATCATTCTTTGTCGACTTTGTCAATTCTTTATCGATTTTCTTATCGATGCATTTGTGTTTCGGTGAAAATTTGTCATAGTTCATCAGTATCGAAACTGCTCTGAAAATCCTTCAGAAGTTCAGAAATATGTTAAAAAGGAGCAAATCCGAGCAAAAAGCGTTAGCAGCTCGAAGCAGCTGAGAGAAGCTCACAAAAAGTGAGCTTCATATCGCGTAGCAGCGAGGAGCAGCTCAGATACTTTTTCCGGCTGGTGACCGGGCGACGACGGCCTTCCGGCCGAGGGCCGCGCCATGTTTTGGGGCGGAGCCTAAAACCGGCCGAGGAGCGGGCTAGAAACTACCACCGGCTGGCTTCCGGTCGCGTCCGCAAAAGCGCGCGAAGGCGCACAAAATCATGAATACCGTCAGATTCAGTAGTGACCATGCGATTTCATCATCACTACGCGCCTTGCAAGACCTTTTGATTCTTGATTTTTCGTGATTATTTTTGTGGTACTGTGTCTTTCTTTACATGCTGTTCGTGTATTGTCATGTTTCATCGCTCATCTTTGTTTTCAGTTTCAGCAGACTAGGAAAGCTTCCATGCCGTCACTAAACTGTTATATTGTTTGTGCTCAAAAATGTTTACTAGTAGTTTCATGCGATTTCCCTTTGTCATTTGGTCATTTGGTTTGCTTCCATCCCCACGAAAAAGGAGGACCCTCATAGGTACATGTTTGACATTTCTTTATCGACCAGCATATCCTCAAATATTTTCAGATTGGAGTACGTTAGTTCACTAGTTGAAATGTTTGAGACTGCTAATGACGGAGTTTCTGCTGTGGTTGAGCTTGGATTATCTGCTTATTTGTCTGCTCCTGAGAACATTCTGTCTATATAATAAGTGCTATAACAACTTGGTGATTGGTTATTTATTGATGGTTGTCTGGAAAATAGTGGACACATATGGAAATAAATAGTCTGTTCATCGGTGTTGTCTATGCATATTGCAACAGGTGAGCAATTTGTTCCTTGTTTAATCTCCCTCTTTAGAATTGGAACTTGTAATGAATATATGGTTAATATGTAATGCGCATATGGATCTCTAATGCAGAATAACATAGCTTCAATTATGCCGCAATGCTGCTGTAGCCTACTGCAGTTGGGTCTCATCTTCATAAGATCCCTATAATCTTTATTTGCAGGTAAACGCGGCTGACTTCTTACTTTTTTGTGAGATACGTGTCACGAATCTTGGGAGCGGAGTCGTTTCTTCTAGCTTCAGTTTCTCAGCTCAAGTCTACATGCGGATTTGCTCACTGTTTGTGTCGTGCATCCCAGAATTGCCCATATAAGCCATCAACGTGCCTGTCTTTCGATCGTTTCAACGCGTTGATTCCAGCAAATAAGGCGCTTATTCGAAGCTGACTGTTGAAATGATTGAAAGACAGCCACGTTGAATTTCCGATGGGAACAGTTTTGGAGAATATGTAATGCAATATGTTCTTTATATTGTGTTTACACATGTTGTATGTTGTACATATGTTGAACTAATTCGTGTCTTCTCTGTTGTTGTAAATATCGAATAAAATATTATAAGAGATTTTTGTATAACACTATATGGCTAGAATAATAATGTATGAGCGGCTCCACAACTTTGGCGAGGCGGAGCTGCGCTAGCGTGCCTTGCGTTGCGGTTGCCCTGTGCTGAGGCACACCTGATCCATTGATCTTTGGTGAAGATCACGATCCCGCCTCGCCAAAGTTGGGGAGCCGACAATAGTCAACGAAGCTAAACCTGGCGGGTCGTGCCCCAATAATCCGCTGCGCTGGGAAGCCGGCTGGCGTCCGCGCCGTTTGCGTGCCAACACCGGCTGGCGGGCGGCTGGCGGCCGGCTCGCCCGGAATTGAGGTGTTGCCTCAGCCGGTCATCGCCCGGTCACCAGCCGGAAAAAGTATCTGAGAGCAACGAGCAGCTGGGAGCAGCAGAGAGCAGCAAGAAGCAGCGCAGCATCGCTAACTATAGCGGGTCTGTTTCGCGTTGGCTGCAGCAGCTAGGAGCAGCAGCGTCGCCTGGCGTCAATCGATACGCACAAAAGACGTTGCTGCTCGCAGCGTCTTATCGTCAGCTATAGCCACCCATCGTCAGGTATATCTCAAGCCTAAGCGCGAATGCACGACTTGAAATGGGAATTGAGAAAATCGCTCCGGAAGCTGGGAGCGCTTCACAGTGCCCACTCGCTGACTTTACCATTTTTTGCTTTTCGCGCTATGTGGATTTTTAAATTCAGCATAGCGAACAGACTTTTTGCCCGGGCACTGCCTTTAACCCATGAGATCGGTATTCACGAGGTAGTGGGTTCGCGAACCCACCAGTGCTTTTTGTGAATATCGATTCAATCCAGTAAGTTTTCCGCTTACCCACGGAGTAGCGCAACCCAAAGGTTCGTTGAGAGTACGGTCACGGGTGTTGTGAGTTATGAGTTCGTACTATCAGAGCTCCGGGACCCCATGTCTCCAGCCGCTCCGCGCGTTGTTGGTCAAAGCGAGGCCCGCGCAGTCGTACAAGGCCATAGCACTGTAGTGAAGGACAATATTTGCTCGGAATTATTAGATGCTATGCTTGATGCCAACGCCGATTTTGCTCTAACATACGCAAAGAATCGTATGGCGTAGCACATTGTCATTGTTTGCGAGCAAATATTGTCGTGAATGCAGCTACACCATATTGACGTCAGATCTGCCAGATTGTCTGGAAACCTTGCAGGTGGACATATTAGTACCAACAAGTACTGGGACAGCGTCCGACTCGCGTTCGCCTGTACGCTAACACTATATAACTGCAAACAGGAAATTTTCAGAAAAATGGATTCATGCAACCACATGTGGCAAAATCCCCATTCAAATCTTTTGTGCGCATTGAGCATAACATCCTTTATCTGCATAAATTGAGCATTAGTAGCAGCAGAGCTATAGGATATAGGTGAAAATGCATCAAGTTATGGTTAAACAAATTAGCGACTAGATGCCGTTGCGTCCCGAGAATTCTGCCATACTTGCGCCTCACTCTTTTGAGTCGCTCGTTATACGTGAAAAGGAAATTAAAGTCGGAAACATCACTGAAGTCTCACACTGATAAGTTGGAAGTTCCTGGACACGATATTCAACAACATGAAAAAATAACAAGGAAATGGTAGACGAATCCTATAAACTCTGTGTTGAAGACGGTATGTGAGAAAGATGGAATGGCTTGAAAAGATAAAATTAAGGTCCTATTATCTAGTCATCCTATAATCTAATTTATCCTAGTAACATTAAAAAATTCTTGTTTAATAAATTGGTAAAATTCTACAACATAAATAATGATCACAGTTGTATATTTGCATGCTACATCTCATAGAAAATCTACGCTTCGAAACGTTGTCCTACAAGACCTAGTGAGCACTCTTTTATGATACCAGCTTCAACATATTGTTTCCTATCGTCGTTCTCGTACCAAAACTTGGGAGATTTTCCGTAGATCCAATTCCAGTCTTTGAGATCAGCGAAGTTTTTGGCCACTTGCTCATTGATTTCCACCTCATTGTCGACGTCAACTTCATCAATGGTACATCTCTGCAAAAAAAAGATAGATTGAAGTTTATGTGCTGAGATAGCCACCTCAAACTGATCCGAGAAATGCTTAATTATAGTTTCTCGTGCTGTAGAGACCTCGGCGGATGCATCATCTTGCTTAAGAAAACCGACAGCTGGGGCTCGAACACTGCTGCTAGCATTAGTTTTAATGAAATCCTGAAAAAAATCAAGAACTTCCATAACATAAAAGAGATCGCGTTTCTTTCTTTCTATGACGAATGAGTTACAAAATTGTGCAAGCGGCTAGTTTTACTGTACCAACCAATGCATTTTTGGAATATATGGAAACTCAAATTAGCAGCGCGCAATTTTTTTTTGGGGGGGGGGGACGGGGGACGAGTAGCGCAGTGGTATGAGGCAGCTATGACCAGATCGGGCACAGGTTTGATCCCCGCCCGTGGGTCAACCAATAACTCTACCCTCAGGGGGTAAATTGATACCAAAGTAATCTGGGAGGATAAAAGCACTGACTTGGTAGACGGCCGGCCCCCGCAAGTCACTGTAATAGGCACGCACGCATACAATTGCCCTTTCGACCATGAATCAGTGTGCATTCGACGCAGAGGGTACTGAAGACGCCGAATCCTTTACCCTACTATCCTATTTTTTTGGGGGGGGGGGGGAGGGGGGGGGGAGGAGAAGCAGCTATACCTTTTCTCGATTCGGGGTTGTAAGCCAGCAACAAACTTGGGAAACAAGTCGAATAGGTTCCTGTATTCTTGACTACAGCTCCTTTATTTGAATTTGCCCCCTCCTAATATTGCTTGATTTGGTTGATGACAGGAATTATAATGCTGGAGTGGTTACCTTATAAGGTGATCGCAGAGAAGTCGATAACACCATTAGATCGGCTTGAACAAGTAATGTAAGGTGATGGTATGCTCTTCCCTTTGTTATCCTGGCAGCCGTGCCAGAACATTTTCTGCAACCCGGCTGCAGTTCCATATCATCACGTGGGGTAGGAACAACCTGTTTATGACAAATAACGAATTATTCGAGAACGGCGACCAAAACTGCTCACATTCACTGCAAAGCGACTGTTCAATGCCTTCGATAACAGCTCTAGGTTCTTCTTCCTATGATGTGCTTTTTGCGTAGTAAGGAACGATATGTTCAAATTCCCTGAAGAAAGTATCACTCATCTACTGGGATGCGTAAGATCACAAAATATGAGATAATAATAAAGTAGTAGTAATGCTTATTATGAAATCACCTTGATCGTGATACACAGCACCTCCACCGCTGTGCCTTCTAGCTAGATCAATTCCATATTCTCGCAAAAAGGGAATATTCGCTTCAACCCATGGGTTTTGATGCCGACCTATTACGACAGTTGGCCTATTACTGTAACAAGACATGAAGTCAGGGAGCTGGTTGGTGCATGCAGAAATCTACCTCCAAAAAAGCAATGCATCTCCCTCTTTTTCAAGATCGTGATGTCTCAAAAGATATTCTTCGTAGGCTAAATTCCTGTATATACATTTTGAAAGGGATATATAAATTTTGCCTACTCGATGGCGCACTATTTCGCCCATACGATCTGAAAAGAATATTAAAACGTCCGTCAAATGCCAAAAGGAGGAAAGAAATGCTCGCAAAGATCGGATTTGATAATCAAGCAACATTTAGAGAAGAAATATTTATTCCTCAGACATCCAACAATTGATATACCATCGAGAAAAGACAAACAACCAGCAAATTCATATTTTAAAAACAGAGATCAATGACACTGTATCATAACTACGCAAGTTCACCCAGGAAAATCCGCTTGTCACTCCCAGCTGATAACACTGAAATAAAACAATGAGGTGAAGAAGGTGTAGTTAATCAAAAGTCTTAGCATATAACAAGGTAAGACAGAAGACAAATCCGGAAAATTTCTGAACTAGTGAGTAACTTACGTATTGGTTCCGTAGGATGTAAATCCGTCGCATTAACAGAGCCGAGATGTCCAGGAAGTTTGTAGAGTATATGTCTGGAAGATACATCCCATACATAGACAAATCGGTCGCTAGATCCTGCCGTTATCCGTTTTCCATCGCCGGACCACCCACATTTCAACAAATTCTGCAAAATAATAACAAGTAACTGAATAAACGTAAAAAAATAATCCGCACGTTACCTTCTCAAAGTTATGCTGATGGCCATAGAATGATTTCAAACATCGTTCTTGTGGAGCAAAAGGTCGAATATCCCACATTTTCGCTCAAACAAGAAAGATATCGATTCATACATTTGAAGTGTCAAAGAAAGCTACCGGAGCAGTCCATGCTGTTGGACAGGAGATAGTTGCCATTCGGGCTAAGTGCCAGACCAGTGATTATGTCTTTGTGTCCCTGCAGTACATAAGAGATGTCGTCACGTCGCATATCCCAGCACTGAAATACCGAATATGCAAAAATAACACTATCAATAAGTTTTTGAACCATAATGGGTCGAAATCAGACATCAAAGCAAAAAAAGGAAAACTCATGTTAAAATAAGCCAGAGTGTCACTGGAAAATGACTTACGTAGACATCACTGTCGATGCTACCCGCAAAGATCTCGTCAGATGTGTCATTGAAGGTGACTGCTAACTGCTGGAACCTATTCTCGTACGTTTTCACAGCATCTTTTATCCGCACATCATGCACCTGAAAAAATTCGCAGAAAGACAACATTATGAAATTGAACTGCATAAGAAAGGCGGCAAAAAGCATATAAAGAGTGAAATTTCGAGGGGACTTTTTCCAAAAGTTTCAAATAATTTTTTTTTTCAAAATCCAGATATTCACATAAAATTCAAAATCTAGTTGCAAAAACGAAATTTGTCGAGTAACGGCACCAAAGTTTTCCACGAAAACTCAAGGTGAACTGAGGGAGGTATGTTGGTAAATGCATGAGTAGGCTCTTATATATGCAAAGCCAATGATGATTACACACGCAGCGCGCTTCCTGGCTTCAGTATCTGTGAGATAACTAGCACCTCGTAGTATACTAGGCATCAGGTTTTATGCTGCTTTCAGAACGTTTCGCAAATAACAAAGCGTGTCGACTAATTGTAAGCTACGCCTGATGGTACATAGCTAGTAACATATGAACTTATTTCAATTGTATCAAAAAGGGAAGACAAAGCAGATGATAAATTGAAAGATAGCACTTAATTACAACGGAGAAAATGATAAAACTAAAGTCATAAAAAATCATCATTGAAAAAAGCGAACTGTCAGTGGGCATACCTTCACCAAGCCGTCATCACCAGCAGAGCAAACAAGTTGAACACCGCGCCTTGAAGGATGGCAAGCGTTCACGATGTCAACGTGAGATTTGAATTTTCGCCTGCATGCTCCCGTTTCCATGTCCCATACCCGGACCGTCTTATCAGTGGCAGCAGAGACCAACAAACTGGAAAGTGCATACTAATCTGGAAGCGGTTTTCAGACGACCTCACCTTGAATCCGTGTTGAAATGTACATCCATGACAGCGCCGGTATGACCACGCAACATTGAAAAATTCTCACACTCTCCATAAACATTCCAAAGGAAAATCTAAAGCAGGAGCAATTGAAAAGACATCGGGATATAATACCATCAAAACGAGCAGGTCGAACAAAACAATACCTTTTGATCGAATCCAGCACTTGCAAGACATGTCCCATCTGTACTGAAACGGGCAGCAAAAATCTCTTCTTCGTGACCCGTTAACAACATAATGGGAGCCTGAAAACTATGACATGATAAGAAAATTTACCATGTTTTAAGCGAGCTAACCGTAGAAAAACTCAACCACCCATAACCAAAATCCATCAGCCATGGTAACCATTCGCAAACAAAGAAAAATAGAGAAATTCGCGATATTACCTGCAGTTTCGAAGTCCTTTGTTGCTCACTCTTTTTATCCGTACCACTTTGCACCACCGCCATCCGATCTGCAAAAATTATCGGTAAAGAATTTGCACGATGACAAATTTTACAAAGAATAATGCAACCGGTGATCCTTACTTGGTAACATCGGCACTTTGAAGTCATCACCCATCATCTTGGAAGTGGTATTTGCCCTACTATTTCTGAACTAGCTCATTCATTTAGAACTTTCACATACAAAAAGACCAAGCATACCAAAAGCGAAGCAAGATAAATAGACAGCTAATCGAAAAGCGACTTTCAAAGACTTTGACAGAAATTGTACCAGTCGAGTAGATTCAGCGGTAAATATAGTGTGCTTGGGGTGGAGGACTATATGTCGCCGAATTTGGAAGAGTCCTGCGCGGATTCCCTGCAGGAACGCATGTCCGCGCATATACAAGGGTGCGCATTTGTCGCAAATGACCGCGGGGACCGCCCTTTTTCGGCGACATATAGTCCTCTACCCGTGTGCTTGCCCAGAAGGTGAAATGCGGTAAAATTGTCGCGTGAAGAAATAGCTTCGACTGTGACGCCGGCCAATTGCGCGCGCAAGATACCCGCAGTAGTGGCGTGGCTACTTGTTCACGCGCAAATTTCACCGCATTTCACCTTCTGTGCAAGCACACTATATTTACCGCTAAATCTACTCGACTGTAGATACAGCGGGGGAACACGCGGAAGGCGACAAATGCCCTGGAACAGGCACGACTAGTGGCCACGCCCTGTCCGAGTTCTCGTCAACACTCGTCCTTCCAATCTTTGTACTGGAGCGCGTCTGCACGCTTTCTACATGTTTCGGTTTGTGTGATACATTTTTGTCTCTGTTCTTGTCTATCCTTTACGGTTCTATATTTTTCACCTTTTGTGTGAACATATCTGCTTATAGGGGTATGAGATGTATCTTTGATGCGGGAGTTCCTTCATGTAGTTGCACATATAAGCGAGCAAGAGGAGTCGTCACCTGACTCATCAGAGTTATGACCTTTCTTGTGTTCTGTGCTCTACTTTTCCATTTCATCATTTTCTTAATTAGATATCACCTTATGAATGTCCTCCCCCTATTAGCTAGCCTTTTCGTTATCATCAAAATGTTTGCGCGACTTAATCATTACATTTTAGTTGAGATGTTCGAGGAAGATCGCTTTCAACTTCGTGCGCCATTGCTATGGACTTATGAGGTAAGAGCTCTCACTCATTCGTTCTGCTTGAACTTCGCCGATCGTTTTTTTTTTGAAGGATGGATCTCACGCCTAAGTGCAATCGAACAGAGGAGAGCTCAAGGGCCATTGACGTGAGCATTGTGTAAACTCTGCTACTTACACTCGAGTTATCAAAACCAATTCTACTTAAGTTTAACTTTTGTGTATTCATATGTTTTTTTTATTTTAGCTATCCTAACGGTCCTAGGTTCTTGCCTTTTCTTGAAGAAATGGTTAGACTTAACATGACTTCATTGACTTGTAAGCACTATTTCTGTATACATAATGGTCCCTGATACCGTTGTCGATAATGACTATGTGGAACAAAGAGACTTACAAAAGTACTTTGGAAACTTTGTACAGGGATTTCTTGCTTTTGAGGTGAAGTTGTACTCTACATTGCTGAGTGATATTATCATTTTCTCTTTTTGTCCTATATCTGGTGCGATTTTGTTGCGAATAAAGTTGTTTTTGTTTCTGCCCTGTCAAACGAAGAATAGTGAGCAGAAAAAATAAGATGAACTTAAGTATTGACAAAGGCTAAATTCTGAAAGATATCGCGGCTATATTGAGTTCGAGGTCCGGCTAGATACAAATTGAATTTGACATTTTGCCTGAAAATGAGGATTCTTCTTACTTTGAGACTCGAAAGAAAACTGCTTTGCAGCATTTATTGTGTTTGATTCATCTCTATCCGAATGATAGCTACATAACTGCATAGAACTGATGCAATTCCGTTATTCTTATTCAATGCAGAAGCTAATCGAAATGTCATCGGCTTCCAGATTCGCAGAGGTGTGGAGGCGGAGTCTTGCCATCTCACAGCGGGGCGGTTTTTGCTAGCGAGAGAGTACGAAAAGCAATGCTATAACATGGAGGTTCAACAAGTTTATCCTTGTTACCAAACAAAGTCTGCAACACACCTCCACACGAACCTGGCAACTGATCATATGCTTGAGTTAGATGATGACCGAAATCGAATTTCGCTGCCAAATCTCACACTCAATCAGTTAGCTATCAGCAAACGATCTACGAGTCTACAACTTGCGTTACATAACTTTCCTTAACACTGAGTGATCACATCTACCAATTTTACACAACGAACTCTTATGGACAAAACAGAGTAGTCGAAGAGGACACCGCCACCATTCAGGTGCCAGCCTATGCGCCACAAGAGCGTCAATCTGACTAACTGACTCGAGGCCAGCACTAAACAGCAGGCAAATGGGAGGCGTGGCCATCGTTCCCTCGCCTCCGCTGGGTTTTGTCGCCTTCCGCACCACACCCGATACAGCGCACCAATCAAACAGGTTGATCCTTTAACATTGGGATTGGAGCGAGCAAACGTTGGCGTTGAAGGCACTTTTCCTGCGACTGTGCGGGGTGCCCCGTTGCAGTCGCAGGAAAATATACCCTAGATCTCAACCCATATGTCTTTCCTCAACATGACGTGGATTACGTGTTGGTGAGGCGCCGCCTCTTTTCGAGCTTGCGCCACGTTGCGAGCGCACCGTTTGGCGTAATGTGGCGTTTGAAACAAGATGGTGCGCTTCCCCGTTGTTCTTGTTGCCACACCACGTCAAAAATGCGCACGCAACGTGCAAAGCCTGAAGCGAGGCGGCGCCTCACCAATCCACGTAGAAGACATACGGGCTGATGTCGAGGTAGGCTCGCTCGCTTTGAAAGACCCTCGAAGAACACGAACGTGCAGCAAATATAGAGATACATCCATAACCGGCGAAGCTGTACTGCCGTGAGCGTATATTTTCACTGCGACTGCGGCACACGCCGCAGAACGATAGTACGTGCTATAGCAGGCTGCTGCGCCCTGCGGCGTAATATGAGGGAACCCTGAGAAGTCCCAGAAGAACCAATACTCTCACGCACAAAGCTTCCAGAGTGGTCAAGTACCTGAACATCTGATGTCACGCGAAATTTAGCAGTTTTCATCGAAAACCTGAGGGAAGTCGATGATATGGTCGTAGGACCTCGGGAGTAGTGCTCGCGATTTTCCCGACAAGACAACTGTAACAACATCATTGCATGCCGATCTTCTTGCATTTCGTTGTGATAGTTAGTCGCACATAGTCGGGTCCGAAACTGGCCCAACCAAAATGAAAGATGATTGTCATGCGATGACTCGTCACAGTTGTCTTGTTAGGGGAATCGCGAGGCGATGAAATCGCGGTCATTATGCCCGAGGCTAAAAGTCGTTTTCAAACCATTTCCTATCACCTGCATAGTTTGAACTGATGTCTCCTTCAAATACTATAATAGACTCTATAATAGACTTCTTTGCCACACCTGCTCAAACATAAAGTCTCTTGAGTACCAAAAAAAAATTCTTGCTTTCAGTTGTATGTCAAGTGTATCTCGCTAAAAGCTGCCACCAACCGCGTCCGGAAAAAAGATGTCTTAGCAAAAAGCTGAAACAATTGCTTCCCCGCTCTTTCCATCCTCTATAGTATCTATTCAAACTTGGGTTACTTTACTCGAACCACAATATATTCATATATGTATAAGTTATCGAATATTGTGTCCAAATAAGAATCTAATTCAGTAGCTGGTTATAAACCATTTATTAGAATGATTATTACCACATATATACAAAAACATGCAGGGTGAATGCACTTCATCTTTTCCTTTTCCTTTTGGGCGTTCGTTCTACTCTTCCCCGACTACGCGGGGCAGTGATAGTATTGGCTAGCTGTTCAAATTGCTTCACATAATCTCTGCTATCCTGGTTCATCATCTCTACCATGGACGTTCGAACGTCATCTGGTAGCGTACCGCTTCCCTGCTGTGGCATCGCGTAGGCTCTCATTTTTGACGGTGTGAGTGATGCTTCGTTCAGCGCTCGCTCCATGAGATCATATCGACTAAATGAGAGACAAAATTCAATGAGAGTATTAGGGCGAGATACTACAAAAAAAAAGTTGAGCGAGAAGCTCGAGTAACTGTAGAATTTACCCACCTAAGATCATCTCCTTGTGGCCTAAAAGACGTGGAAGTGTGCTCACTCGCTCTTGTTGGGGACATCGATAGCTCACCGCCAAAAAGTCGATTCATCAGCTCAGCTCTAAAAATACTTACTGTCAATGACCTCCACGCTGAAAAAAAATGTAGTTAACCTTTCTTCTTCTGGTTTGTTCTTACATGGTGTCTTTTCTGGTGTGCGCAATGAGCTGAGGAAATCATGAGCGAATGAGGTAGGGCACAACTAGAGAGGTTTATTTTTGGACAGAACCCATACGAATACAAAATTACCTCAGAAAAGTCTGTCGCAACTTTTTCCGCACCGTTTCCTTGATGCTGATTCTTTGCCCGCTCAGCAGCACATCGAGCTTTATATTGGCTAACTGAAAAAAAAAACCTAAAACGAACAGCGAAAATGTACCAATCTTTCAGAAACAAAAAGCGCCAACATGCTGCCAATAGCCAACAGACAAGAAAGCGATCATACTGGCAAGTTTCTAACTTACTCTGCTTTCCCAACATGATATCAGCAGGTGGGCCAGTGGTTTCCACTCGAAGAACAGTGGTAGCAGGTTTTGGCGCTATGAACGTGGTTATCTGCTTTTGAGTCGATGTGGTGGTCACAGTTTTCGAAGCTGTTTTTCGATTCTACAAAAACACTTGCGTATTATACAGCAGTTCAATCCTTCAAAACATACGTTCATCTTCTTGCCTCTAAGTGCATTATACTGTTCAGCAAAATTATCGTACTCTTCCAGTACAACGGCACTTTCGGACAGTACTGGCTGCACCACAACAGGAGTTCGAGGCTGAAAGTATGTGTATATCTATACTCACGTTCCTTTCATGCAAATGAGAGGGGAAACACAGCTGACTTTAAGATAAAAAAATGTGCCCTATGATTTCCGATAACGGTGCGAGATAGAAGGGGAAGGAACGAGAAAATCTACCCAATGACCGATCGTTATCAAAAGTGGTCTACACAGGGTATGATATAATGTGGTTAGCTTGTTACGATTCTCATATAATTGCCAGAAATTCTTCATCAAAATCCAAAGCGGCCAAAACTGCAAAAAACCCGGGAAGCTCCCTAACCATTTTTTGGAGGCCCCAGAAGTTCCTGCCCTATCTCTTCCCCCCTCCCCATTCACGAATAGAATTTTTAAGATAGCACGAAAAAATTACAAGTTGATATTAGGGAATTTGCTAGATTTTGAAATCAAAGAAAAATGATCTCTCAAAGTTGATCACCTTGTCCCCACCATCTCCGAAGAATAACTATTAGTCAAGCTCAATATTCATGAACTATGAAGCAAAATTCTTTTCTTACCTCTTCTTGTATTGCGTTTAACGGTGAACCGAGTTTACTGTGCGGAGTCAGCTTCGCCTTCGCATTTCTCAGCGGTCTAGCCTTTGACGGTGGTTCATCCCTAAACAAAAAATGAATAAACCAAAATCTATCGAGTCTCTCTTCAGAAATTTCGAACTTTCTCTCATTGACTGCATCAGCTGGTCGCTTTCGTGCTGTATCCAACAAGGCTTCTCCATAATCCCGTTCCAAAAGGGAAACAAGTATACGCCAAGGTTCGCGCATTCTTGGCATTGTTTTGATGCTGTAGACTAGTTCTACGATCGGCGTCATTCCGCACTGAAAAACTAAACTGATGCCAGGTGAAACATTAGGTAACGCTCATATGAAGTAAACCGCTCTTTGTTAGGCTCTGGCCAGACTTCGCTAAAAAGCGCTCAAAAGCGCTTAAACTTCTCTAACCTCTCCTCACACTCTCTCATTTCTCCTCACACGAGAAAGTGAAGAGACACCAGAGAAACTTGGGCGCTTTTGGGCGCTTTTAAGCGAAGTCTGGCTAGGGCCTTATGATTGATTCTTCGACAAAAGTAAAAAAAAAATTTACAGCATAGTATAATCTACGGTCTCACTAAACAATATAATTCAAGTATAGTCTATGGTCTCACCAAACAATATATTTCAGCGACGATGGCGTCTTGCACGTTTTCCTCACATAAACCTCCTTTTATCACTTCTTCGTTCAATACGAAATTGTGTGCAATTCTTACCGTGTATGAAGGCTCTGAATACATGAAGTCTGAACTACAAAAAATCGAGTTCAATGCCAAATGTCTACCTGTATTCACTTGCGCATTCCTCGATCTTTTTGATTTGAGCGCTTCCCTATCATCTCGCTCCTTTCTTAGCCTAGATGTGATTAAATTACACAAGCCTAAGTGCTACATACAACATTGCGTGTAAAAAATGGCCATGGCCTCAAAACTTGAAAATGTTGGGTGTACGACCGATTTGTTGCGCAAGTGTTGTCATCACCGCAGGGGCACAATAAAAACTTCACTATTCTTAAAGTTACTATATGGGTTACAAAATGTGTAAGTGACTTGTTTATACTTGTAAATAATTAAAATGATTTTTAAAATTTTTTAAAAATTCCAATTAGCCTTGTAAAAGAAATTTATAAAAATTTTTTTGGGGGTGGCGTCAGCCACGCCCTCTTTATCCAGATTTTAGGGGTTGGAGACCCGCAAAAATTTTGAGAAGCACCCCAAAAGATTTTTCGGAGTGCGTTAGCGCCACGCATCTTCATTGGAAAAAAATTTTTGTCGCGCCCCTCCCCCCCCCCGGTCCGAAATCCTGGGACCGCCACTGGTGTACTGCTACATTTATCATGCAGAGCGAAACTTACTTGTTCAAAGAGGGCCCTACCGCAGGTGAAAGTTCCGTAGGACTCAGAATTACGCGTCCTACTTCAGTATCTTTTCCAGCGAAGAGCCGAATCTCAGGCCGAGGACCAGAAGATCTTCTGCTACCGCTTGCATCCTTTAAAGAGCCTGTTAGAGCAGAAGCAGATGGAAGTAGAAGTGGTTGTTAGCCTCGATACCATTTTGTCTAGCGACGATGCCCATTTGTGGCGTAGCAGCTGGAAGATTCTCGATATGCGATCGTTGGTGTTCAATCGTATCCGAAGCAAAGGATTCTGCTCACAGCTGACCTGAAATGAGGCGCAGATATGGAAAAGAAAAAGGTCATTGTAAACTGTAGACTTTTCCGTATACTATGCAGTGAAACCAATGGAATCCCACATTATGTGAGATAAACATGACTTACCACATATGAAGCATCAGCGTATGTCATGGGCTTCAAAGAGACTATAATTTCGGGCGGAAATTTGTCAAGTTGATTGTCTGCAAAGAAGATAGCGTTTTTGATGACATCTGCGAAAAAATGTCGCAAAAAAAACAGACAAATGGTTCAACATACTATAGAAGAATTTCAACAGCGAAGGACAAGGTGGTGTTTTGATCTTCACCGGAATACTCTTTTTCTTGGATTTGTCACGTACCGGCATTGTTGTGCAACTGAAAAATGGCTTTAGCGGGGATAATTATCCATAAACAATCACTTACCCATGGAAAATCAATTCTTTCATGCGTTCTGGTATGTACTGATTACTTCGCGTCCTTCTACGCCATTCGCAAGCGTTTATGGTTATGAACAACTCCTTTGCATCACGCCCTATGTCGCCCATCGACTCTAAATCAAACGAATTTTTGCAGTCACCAAAAATTCAACTTACCTTCATCCAAAGAAATAGTCTGCTTTACATGTTTCAATAAATTGAAATAGTAATTTTTTGTCTGTTCTTTATTTTTCTCCACTTTTCGCTTTGCCATGATACGCATGACACCATCAAAGTCTTTGCCACACTGAATTTTTTCTTTGAAACAATCGACACCACATCTAATCCATTTTACCTGTTTAAGACCTTCATAAAAAACCATAATTTCATCATGACTCCAAGTTTTCGATTTTTTCGGAAGACGCTCTTCCTCTGCTGCCGCCGTTGTGTGCGAACTCAGCTTTGACGGCTGGAAAATATCAGTATCAAGCTGACAATGCCTGAGAAAGAAATGCAGCAATACCCGTTACTTCCTCTCAATGAACAAAAAAGCATGTAATCATAAACTGTTTACAACTGCGAGAACAGTTTCCCCAAAAATTTGCTTCACTGAGGTCATCTAACAAGAGACGCTTGATTATAAGCGAACTATCCAGCGTAAAAATTACCCTAATTTCACGCGCATAAGTCGCACTTTTTCGAATTTTCAATCGAGCCGCTCAGCCGCTTCACTGTATTTCTGAAAGAAATCCTTACATCGCACGATTCTCTCAAGCAATATACAGCACATTATACGGTCCTTTGGCTGTAAAGTCCTTTGGCTCGTCTGGGCTGGTCGATATTGGAAAAAAAATTCCCCGCGCCTTATACGCGTGAAATTAGGGTACTTCAAAATGGTCCCTTCCCTACCACCTGAGTGGTCACCCAAACGACTGACAAGGTCGTTTATTAAATAGATATTTGATTCTCGGACAAAAATTGTTACAGGATTGCCTACGTTGAGGAATATGCATCTCTGAATCATGACGCCATTCTGCAGCCGTTGACTGATGCATACTAAATTTCCAAACAGATCAACGAAACCAAGGATCATATAAACGTTATCTTATTGGCTGCTCAATACCTAGTACACGGTAGGTCGAAAGGTGTTTCCTATTCAGTCAAACAGATATGCACACTTACTCCAGGGTTAGTTGAACATTCACCACTCGTGCCCTCAGAACGAGCTCCATTAGAGCTTGACGGTTGGGGATCTAGTGGAGGACGAAACGCAAGTCGACGGCGAGACACTTGCTCAACATTCTGGCCAGAACTGCTATCGTCTGTGTGTGGAACACTACCGTCTTCTTCGGTAGGTTCAGCGTGACTAGTCATTAACTTCAGATCTGGGAATTTCAAATCAACTATGTGCCTGTGGTAACCTGGACAAGTAATGTGGCGACAATTTCGCAAATCAACAAACAAAAGGAACATCTTTTTTGCCCAACAACTCCTTACATAATAACAACACGAAGTTTACAACAAAGAATGCATTTAAGATGCAACCCAGCCATATAAATTGGTTAGTTATGTAATACATTTGTCAGAGAATAGTGGAGATCAAATAGATTAAAAAAAACAGAAAATCCCTAGATAACGATAATGATTGTGACTGACAAAGAATGTCTGGCATGGCAGTTACATACGCACGTATTCCTTATTTATACAGTAAACATAGACACCTCTTCAGGTTTCGACTGCCACATTCCCAGTTTGTGTTCCCGCAACCTAAATCAACAGTGTTGGACTGTCTTCTCCGTCTCTAACGAATAATAAATAAACTAAATATATCTGAAAACTCACCAAGCCTCCAGAGCTAACTTTGCCTGATAGTGTGGCTTGCAGTGAACCTTGAGATTTTCATATGTAAATCCATTGGGTACAGGTGATCCAACCGCTTCGCAGACCTTAAACGTATAACAATAACCGAACAAAAATCGAGCCGACATGAAAGGGCGCTTGCAAACCATGGATCCCCCCAGATCTAGTGCGCGTTACATGACTCTTGCTTGGTGACACCATATAATAGAGCTCACCTTCTTGAAAAGCATCGACATATCCTTTTTTGACAGTCGCGAGACTTGTTTTTCAGCAGAAGGCACATCAATTAGACCAAGACTAGTTCGCAGAACCTGTAGTACTCGATCAAAGCAAGGAATAAGGTAGCTGGGATACATGTTTTCAAACTGATGAACACATACCTCCACTGAGTTATCAGCAAGATTCCAATTGACAGATATGGGCGAACCCGTTGTAGCTTCGCGAGTATTCGGTTCGTCCTTGAATTATGTGATCTCACAAATTAGCAAAAAGGAAACGTCTATGTAGGCACAGCTAATCTCACCTGGCATTTTCCTATGAGCAGTTTGTTCAAATGAAAAGGAGCTGATGGCTTGAAACCGTCAATACGTTGATAAAGCGCTCTTTCTAGACGTTTCGTATCAGACTTATCAGCGACTGCCAAAGAGGAGAGGTAGATCTGAAGCAAAAATTCTTTGCTGACTGAAGTACTGTTGCAACATGATTACCGGATCAATGAATAGAGAAAGCAGTCCTCCTTGCAGTCCTAGAACATTCCAGCGCAACATTTTATCGCTGCATGACATCGTGCGCAAACGCTCTCCTCCCATAACACCATCGATAGTCTGGGGTACAAGTGTTTCGGGAAATCGACCCAGTACGGTACCCATCCCTGAAGATAGCACATGACTTGCCTAATAGAAGAGAAAGAACCAGAATAAGCCTTTCTAAGAAAAAGCCCTCTCCACGCTAGTTCCAAAACTGCCCTCTATGTCTGCTTAACTGCTTTTATTGAGCAGAACCTCGGATTTTGAACCTCAAGCTACAATGTGCATGAGAAGTAAAGGAAAATTGGAGCTTTCAGGCTCTTTCTCAAAATGCGCTCAAGGAGAAGGATCTTACAAGGAGGTTTAAGCGTTTCGCATATCAGACAATGAACAAGAAAACATTATCCAAGAAAGTCACGCAATCTAGATGACAACCAGGGTTCAAAATTCGCTCTAAATTGTTTAAAAGACACGAAAAGTGGCAGATTAAAAAAGTCATTTTGAAACAGTCATAATCAATTAAATTCTACCAGAACTTCGTGAATTCTGTCAATTCTTTCATAAAGAATATATAAACGAGCGAATGAAACTCGCTAGTACAGCAATGGATTTGAAAGAATAAACAAGTAAGAATGGAACTCACCATTTTCCACTTTAAAACGAAGAAGACTGTTGGTTTCAGCTTCTTTAGCATTGGTAAGAGTCACATCATTCAAGGAGTAAACGCGGGCATCTCCGCATGGGGCGGTATTGACAAACATATGGAAAGAGAGGCCCTTTCGCAATGCAAGCTTCCCTACAGCAATAGTGATTGAATGATGACAATGCCCTACAAACCGAGTAGTTTACCAGTGCTGTTATTCTTTACAAAGATTGACTTGGAAGGATCTTTTGCGTACAGCAATACTTGAGCATACAGGAACCTAATAGAAGAGATTGGAGAAAACACTGAATGAAAATTAGAGTTACCAACCGCAACAACCCTCTTCGTGCGATAACTTCCGCATGGCAGTCATTCACGCTGCAACCATGTAGACTCAGACAGTCCCCTAGATAACAGTAGAATCCTCAAAAATTGGTTTAGTAAACACGCTAGTCAAAACCTCTAAGGCCCTTGTTTCCCGTCGCCAGAGAGATGATGTTCGCACTGCTGTTCTGACTGGTTCTCGTAACCAAGAATATGCTTGCAATCACTTTATCAGACAAAATACTTTCTGGCTGCGAAGAGCTGAGTCTGAAAAACACTATTACAGTTCGTTGACCGGCTTTCCGGATATTCAATCACTGTTAAAGATGGAAGTCCACAAAAAAGTTAAAGGCTATGACATGACGGCCACTGCAGACAGATAAGTCAGAGGCTAAAACAACAGCCGTACATTTGAGAAGATGTTGCCTCCAGCAATGTTGGGGTGGAGGAAGAAATAGGCAAAAGTGGGTTCTGTGTTATACATGATAATAATATTCAAATAACACACGTATATCTAACAGCTTGAAACTGTCATACCTTCTTGAATAAAATATTTAAGAGAAGAAAACAAGAAAAACCAAAACGTCAAAGCATAGAAAATGAATGCAAAACTCACTTGTAGAATTTTGAATAGGTATGCTTGCGAAGAAGCTCGAAAAACGTGGTTTCCTGCTTGAACTCTATATCCATCGAGCCCTTAGCGATCTCCATTGAGAACTGTTCACAGAGGATCTAAAAAGTATGAAATTGAGAGAACTGAGCAAGCTCTTCAGATATGACCTTGATGCCTTTCACGAAGCAGTCCATTTTTGCAACCTTCTTCGTACGATGAGGAAATCCCGTCACTTCTATGTCACCAATGCGGACAGAAGCTGCGAACATAAACCTAAAGAAGTCATTGACAACGATAAATTGCAAACGACGCCTCACTTACGCTCCCTTCGTTTCACCCGGAATCAGTTGAACAAAAACTTTTGGCGATTCCCTACAAAAGAAATATAATAATAGCAAAACGGAGCTAATTATCCATACTGATTTTTACGTAAGACCGCTTCTGGAGCACTATAGAGAAAAGGAAGGACATGAAATTCTTCGAAAAGCAAGCAAAGAAGAACTAGTGAATCAAAGGCGCACTTACTTGAATATCTGCATATACATCTCCAGAAACAACGAAATGGGATTCTTTCGAGTACGAGCCATCATTTCCTTTACATCTTCGGGAAAATCTTCCGCACTATTTGCTGCTGCTGCTGTTGCTTGTGCCACAGTCATCTTCAACCTGTCCAGAGATAATAACAAACATTCAATATCAGGAACTAGGAAAATATAGGTTCTTGCAACTCGTGATGATGCTGACCAAACACTGGCTATATGGATTTATCAAAGCTACATTCTGAAACTTGTTTAAACCGCACCGGTGCTAATAACTAATAACAATGTACTGTATAATACAACAACAAATACTATGTGTATACAACTAGTTTCGCTCGCTAGCTAGTTTATCGGTATAAAAACTCGGCTTGGATATTGGCAGCCAACTCAGGTTCCCATCGATCACCAAGAGTTAACAGCTTTTCCTGCAAACGAAAATGATCTTACAAGGGAAGGATACTTGGTCGAAGTGGAGTTTCCATAAGACATGAATACTGTCTTATAGAGCATGAAACGCTGATTCCGAATGTGCTTTCGTTATCTGCAAAAAGCCCTTGGGATGGGAGTTATGAAAGCTTTTTGAGGCAAAAATTCAAGGTTTTGGTTGAAGGCAGTGTCCGGGCACAAGGTGGGTTTTGGGATTTCAGCGCCATGCGAGAGTGGCCCCCCTCAGACACAACATCGCGCAAGTGCGACGTCATAACACTCGACCTAAAGCAAGAAAAAGGATCAGAAAGTGGGAAACTTAGCCTTGCGGGGTCCTCCTAGCTGTCCGAATTCCTGCTATGCGGCAGAGTACGCATGCCGCCACAGTTAAAATGTAGGGTTCCGCAGCGACTCTGCGTCTTTGCTTTGGTGGGTACCGTCGAATTTCAATTTGTGCGGCTTTTGAAAACGTATGTTCTCGCCGTTTTCGCGTTCTAGTGGATTTTCGAATTCAGCATTGCGGATAACCCCCGGTAAGCGGATTTTCTATAAACCGAGTTTTTGCCCGGACACTGCCTCTAAGGTAAAAACGAGTGTTGAGGTTTTCACAGCGAGTGGAGTAACGACTATCTCAAAATCATTACAATGAAGGTATTAACTGCAGGAAGCACCCTGGCAGTAATGATGATCCCCTCCAAACTCACAGACTACAGTGCTGAAAGATTTTATTGCAGCTGCGTCTCGAAATTTTTGCGTCAAAAAGTTTCCATAACTTCCCTCTCAAAAGCGCTTTGCAGATATCGAAAGCAGTTTCGGAATCAGCGTTCCATGCTCTATAAGACAGTATACATTCCATGTGGAAACACCACTTCGACCAAGTATCCTTCCTTTGTTAGTGAACGAAACTGTTTTGGTTTCCACCTTTCCTTACAGTTCTACTCGTCTTGGAGGAAAGCAAACTCAATAGATCGAATATTTTTACCAAAACAAACCTTGTTATAAATCAACTCTTCGTGAGTTTCCGTCGAAAATTCGAAGTTGGGCCCTTCGACGATGGCATCTACTGGACATGCTTCTTGACAAAGACCACAGAAGATGCACCTGAGTGAAGAGACTGAGAAGGTAACTTAGACAAGCTCCAGGCACTTATTCATGTCGATATCGTAGCGCGTAGTGCGCCGACTTCCGTCAGGTCGTGCCTCTGCTTCGATAGTGATTGCCTATATGATTAAGAAGGATAGAAAACAGTCTCAAACAGAATGAAGCTGCTAACCTGTGCTGGACATATAGCTTCACAAAGCTTACAGGCTATACACCGCTCTTCTCCCGATGGGTAACGACGTAAAGCATGCTCCCCTCTGGAAAATTCCAGATAAAATAAAACAAATTTCTTAGCTGCGCCAAGCATATGAAAAAACATGGAGGACTAATGATGGTGGAAAAAGTACCTAAAGCGAGAACTGATTGGACCTTTCTCGAAAGGATAGTTTATGGTGGCTGGTTCCATGAAGACATGCCCCAACATGACGCCGAAACCTGGAACGTAAAAAATTATTCAATGATCAAGATGCAATTTCGATTTCGTCTTGGATGCTACAGGCATGAAGGATTCCGAAATTTGGTCCAAATCTTCAACCAAAAGACATGAAAACTGAAGCATTATAAAAAGGAGTGGAAACTGAAGCTCTATGATTGTTCAAGCAGAAATCATTCTAGACCAACACAAGGATACAAACGCGGTTTGGGTAGTACGTGATAAAAAATCAAGATTTTTGATAAAGCACGTTGAAGTCCAAGTAGTAAAAAGTCAAAACAATCCATATGAGGATGAGTTCGGAAAAAATTGGATACCTCTAAAAAGCTCGGTGAAAAACACAGTGTGTAGTCCAAAATTGAGATCTCCGGCAAATGACCCATCGCTTTCGGCAGGCATTCCAACATATTTGTAGTTAGCATTGGGGTTTTCTGGTGTGCTTGTCGGGACTGTCGTAGTTGCTGCCGGCTAGAATTGTAAAGATTAAAAAAACAAAGGATCGTTAATGTAATATAAGCGATAACCTTTAACGAAAACTTCAGAAGTGACATGCGGCCAAATGTACCCTTGCTCAACAATCCAACGGATTTCATCGCCATGATGCCTGCAATGAGAATTTATGAGGTTGTGCAGAAAAAATAGAATAAGAAATTTACAGATGGAAGACTTCGCATAACGACCCCTTACAAGAAAATATGGTGAAAACAAAGGAAAAGGAAACGAGTATCCTATCAGAACTTGACATGTTCAACTCGTTTTCACACATCTGCATCATGTTCAAACTCTTCATAACTTGTCTAAAAACATGTCAAAAACAGGTGATTCTATGATGAAAAGCACTCTTTGGTCACATCAACAAGTCTACACCTGTCAAATCGTGCAGGTTTCGAAATTTGAGATTATGCACTCTTCATGGTGATGCTTGATCTTTGTTATTTCACAATCAAAAGTCGCTAATAAAACATTTTATTATATTTTTATTCTTATATTTTTGAAGCAAAGTCCAAAACCTGCATCTACTCTTTGTTAGCTATGCTCTAAATCTGACCCATATCCTTTTACAAAAAACTTCTGATCAAAGCTTCAGATTATTTTTGCTCGCATCTTTAAGTCGCACTCAGCAAAGTAATTTGCGCTTCATAAAGCTTAGTGATTTGAAAAAAAAAACGTTTTATAACTGAATTGAAGCACTTTATAATCTTCATACTATGTAGAACAACCACATTACGGAAACATACGGTTCTTGAATAGACTGAAGATCCAGTGCAAAGTGGGATATCCCTATAGGAGATGTTTATGCTCTAACTAACTATGATTTTTTCTGACTATAAGTCGTTCATGGTTTCAAACTGATGCGAGCTCCTATACTTTCCAAATAATTTCAAAGAGGGATATCTCAACAAGCACTCATGGTTTTGTCGCAAGGCTTTCTTGATTCAAATGAGTTAAATAGCAATAATCCTAAAAGAATGTTAGAGACTCGAGCAATGGCAATACACAGAAGAACTTTCGTATGTGGATGAAGTGCTAAAACGAACATCACTGAGCTTTACGCCGCTCAAATAAAGAGAACGCGCTACGCTATCGATTTTCCTCTCGCATAAAAAAAGCAATAGTGGCGCTGATGAAAACCGTAAACACTCACCAGAGCGAAGCTCAATTCGGAGATTTCCAAGGTAAGCTAATGTGTAAAATAAATTTGCATAAAAATCGCGCGCTGTGAAGTCATGAATCGCCATGGGACAAGGCGATCGCGCGACTGCCAATAGTATGTTGGCATAGCTGTCAACAATTCTATTTGCTTGAATTTTCTTGCAAAACACTATAACGCATCATATTTCAGATACGGATAGCGGGATATCGATCAACATATCTGAAAACACTGAAGTGTGCAAGATTTGAAACGAAACTGATCTGTCGCCGCAAGCAAAAGTGCAGGCAGTCACGTAGTAAAATGCACTTCATCAACAATATGAAGCTTCTGCTGCACTTCAGCTTGCTTCTGTAAATTATTTTATGGATATCTGACTACTCACGCTTACGTACCAGCTTACTTCGTATTTTTGAGCGATTTTCTTTTGTTTGTTTGCTTTCTTTCGGTCGCTTTGTTCTTTGTTGGTTTCCTCAACTTTCAAAATCGCAGAACAATTTGCTAATGCTATGATATTATGTGAAATCAGAAGATGATTTTGCTGTAGTTTTTTGAAAACAACCTAGGCTTATTTATGATCACAGTTTTAAGCACTTTTCAAATGAGAGAGGCCAAGTTGAATTTGAAAGCAGAGTAAAATTGCAAGAATTTTGCACGTTTAGGTCCTCCGTACGATTTTTGCGTGCTATTATAAAAAGAGAAAACCATAAATTCTTACCTCATAACTCTTCCGAAATTCATGGTTCGTCTCTTTCTCCTTGTTGCTCCGCTATGATTGAACCTGTCCATGTCCATTCTTGAACAGCTATCTAACGATTAGGCATATTATTGTACAAGGTATGTAACGAAAAACGCGACTAATGAAAAGATCAATTATTTAAAGATTTTATTTTCGTCGTATTCTTTTACATATTTCATATATTCTCGGCACACATTCCTACATCTACTGAGCTTCTTCCTCTTCTTTCCGCTTGTTTTAACGGTACAAGAATTCTGCCTGAATGTTAGCAGCAAGTTCTGGTTCCCATCGGTCTCCATTGTACAGTAGCTTTTCTTTGTTATACAATAACTCGCCATGCGTCTCTGTTGAATATTCGAAATTTGGTCCTTCGACTATCGCGTCGACTGGACATGCTTCTTGGCACAGTCCACAATATATGCATCTAAACAAGCAAATTGAGCCAATACAAATTGCCTAATACCTTGAAAAAGCACATAATTATTACTTTGTCATGTCAATATCATAGCGAGTAGTTCGTCTGCTACCGTCTGGGCGGGCTTCGGCCTCGATCGTAATCGCCTAAAAAAGTAGAACAAGCATTAACGTTGCAGCGAAATGCTGAATGGAAAAGAATTAAAGGATGGTAGAACTTTGTCCAACCTGTGCAGGACAAATAGCCTCGCACAATTTGCAAGCGATACACCGTTCCTCACCGGATGGATAACGGCGAAGGGCATGTTCACCCCTGAAAATGACAGAGGAGTCATTTGTAGGGGGAAAATAACATGACAGACACAAAACATATGCAACAACAAAAAAATTTCAAGTTCCATTTTCATAAGACTTGGACATTTATTATATATCTGATTACTTCTCTGCCAAACCTTTTTTTTAGCGCAACAAATCTGCTCGGCACGGAAGTAGACAGATATTAGAAAAAAACCTCATACATTGCATAGAAGAGACGACAATAATCATAAGCATAGTCACCTGAACCGAGAGCTGATAGGTCCCTTTTCGAAAGGGTAGTTGATGGTGGCAGGTTCCATGAAAACGTGTCCAAGCATCACTCCAAACCCTAATTCAATTTCATATTTACTTTTGAATAGGATCAAGAACTCCAACAAACATATTGGGGAAAACAAGAAAGAAGAAAAAATAAATTTGCCTCGAAACAGTTCTGTGAGAAAAAGCGTGTGGAATCCCAAATTGAGGTCACTGCGGAAAGTCCCATCGGTCTCTTGTTGCATTCCAACGTATATATAATTGTTACGCTTTTGCTGTATGGTTCCATCTGTGGCTGCTACCTGAAGTTTTGTGAAACATTAGCCACAAATTGCAGAAGTTCAAAACGTTTACCTTTGGTAATCGTCCCAAAATCCCCTTTGTAAGTGATCCAGCTGATTTGAGTGACATGGCTCTGAAAAAAAAAAGGTTTCGAAATTCACAAGTTTTTTTTCAGATCTGAACTTGATGGTTCTGAAAAAAAGTTTCGAAATTCACAGACATTCTTTTCTAGATCTAGAAGCGATTGCAGCAGATCTACAGGCTTGTGAATTGCAATGAGCAGGATTTTTTTCGTTTTTTTTAATTCGAAAGAAGCACAGAAAAAAAATCGAAATGGTCCTTAGCGAAAGTCGACCCACGTTCTCGTCTTGATATTGTCAGCATCCGTGGTCTTTGTACCCGTCTCCCCGCCCAAGAGGCCGCAAACTGCGGAAGAGCGTGACCCTTGACCCCTCGGCTGTCGTCTCTCTAATTCGGTGGTGCTTACGAGAGAGAAAGTAAAACGTCAGGAAAAAGCTGAATTCGAAAGAGGTGATCAGGGATGGTTAAGAAGAATTCTCATTTATTTGTTGATCTTTCACAACAAAAGTTTGCCAATTTTTTGAAGTCATTTTCTGGGCGTTAAATTTTACTATCATTTTGCCACAAGGTTGTAAAATACTCGCCTTCCCTCCACTGATGACAGGTAGTCTGTTTTTCTTCCAGTCAAAATCGCAGATGAATTTTTCATATGCTTACTTAATTTTCAATTATTTTTGATTTTTGATTTTGATTTTCAAGTTTTCATATTTCTCTTAAGCTGTACTGGTGGCATTTTTGTTCAAGTTTTTCATCGTCGCTTTAACATATCTGGTCATAACATAAGCGCTGCACGTTTCAACGACGAGACCTATCTGTCCATATTATGTTCATTTTTTAGTCGATTTTTAGAGTGTTTCCCTAATTTAGGCTAATCGTAGATGCAAGATCGCTAATATCTCCATTTGGAAGCTCATAAAATGTTCTTTTTTCCTCAGTTCTGAAACTCTTTGAGGTGTTTTGGATGGGGAGGAGGAGGGGGGGGGGTAAGACATCTAGAGTTCTTTGTTGCTTCATACTCCAGGCTCTGTACCGCCTCTATAATCCCCAAAATGTCTGCTTTACTATACCTAATGCAAACAATCATCACCCACATTGTCTCAAATTTTCATATTTATCTTTGTCTTCTGAAGTATGGCTAGATAAACTAGGTGATCGACTTCTGACCGAAACATTTAAGTAGGCGGAGCGTAAATACGACTCTTGTTTTCTGTTTGCTTATATACGAAACTCACGTTGGTGTAAATGCACATGCCTTGTTTTCCCTCGTTCTCATTGGTAGCGATCATCTGTTTGGAAGTGAAATACGAGCAATGGAGATTTCTTATTGTGCTTGTCTGCCTCCAGAACTCTATTCTCAACCGCTACTTCTCTATTTACGAACGAATGAACGAGATCTTCAAAACTTCTTCTATTTATCAAAGTGACAACAGTTTCAGCGTCAGCAATCAATGTCCGCATGTCTCGCAGACTGCTTGGGTCCACCTCAAATGCCTGTCGTTTATTCTCCTCGAAGTCAAACGTAGACCACTACGCGGTGCTTGGAGTAAAGCCTTCAGCCTCACTCAAAGTAATTTTGCTATAAAATTAACTAATGTTTTTTCTTGCAATTGTCCCAGTATCTCTGTGTCAGGAGATAAAAGCTGCATTCTACAAATTATCAAAAGAATATCACCCTGATCGGAATCGCGACAATCAAGAAGAAGCTGCTGCTAAGTTCCATCAAGTAAGGCTCTATCGTTTGAGAGTCGGAGACGTCCTGTAAACGTTTTTTAAGGTCTCGGAAGCGTACGAAGTCCTTGGGTCCGATGAGAGGAGAAGAGCCTATGACTTGACTCGGATACGAACCGCACCAGATTTAGGGTGAGTGTTCTGAAGTGAGGACCGGTTTTTTATTTTCTTCTTTTTTCCTTTTTTTTCGGAGCTTGTAGTTCATGCTTCATACTCAGCCAAGTTTACCCTCGTTTTTTGTCGTCTTTTTTTGCGAATGTCTCCTTACCAGCTCAGAGTCCTAGAAAGATGGTCGAAATGTGTGAAATGTCCTATCATGTGTCCAGAACTCTTATGCTTTGCCAGCTTGAGAATTTTCTCATGGAGTGATGACAGCCGAGAATACGCGATTTTTACGCACTATCTTGGTTTTTTTCTTAAGACACTTAACAGTTTTATATGGGCTAGGATCCCGCGAAACTGGATTGCCGGCCCGTTTCTTTGCCGTTGCTTTGCTTCTACACTTTATAACTACTTTTAAAATAGGCCTTGCCAATGAGTTATCAGTGAAATCAGCATTAGCAAAAATTTCAATTTACGTCCTCTTTCTTATGGCTTGATGCTTACAGAAGTTTATATGCACGAAGGCCATTCACTCCAGAACCAACTAAACAGTATGAGGATATCGACATTGACTATAAAAGCTTCGAACATTTCCAGCGGAAGACTAGGTAAGTCTCCAACTTTAGACTTTCAGCGGATTTAACTGACATTCTTGTTATTGATAAACGGAAGCTTAAATGTAGTGATACTCTCCATTGGTACAGGTTATTCTCTTTTCCCATTACAGGCAAAGGAAACAATTCCATTCTCACTTTGATATGCCAGAAGAGTTCTACGCTGAGTTTGGCGCAAACAAACGGGAATTCAAAAGCGAATATGAACCTAAGGTTTCTTTTACCAACTTCGTCCTGCAAATGGAAAGTGACTCTGAAGTTCACTTTTAGGGGTCGATACACCGAGATAGTAGAACAATAAGGAGAGAAGAAGAAGAGCGCCTCCGCGAAATACAAAGAGAACAGGTGTGTTCTAATTTTGGCTTTATACTGCTTTGTTCAGTGAGATTTTCATATTTTTTCTACTCATAAGATAATACGAAAAACAAATAAATTATCATAACCTGCACACTCTTGCATGCGATCTTATTACCAGGTCCAAGCGTGTTGGCGCAGTGGTTTTTGCAATTAGCACCTTGGAGCACTTCTAAATGAATCATAATATACACGTGATTTGTGCTTGTGAATAATTGGAGTGACTTTCAATGTTTTGCTCAAGAAATACAATCAGCTTTGCCGCGTGGTTCTTATCACGCCCCATATTCAAAGATTTCGGGGTTTTAGGTCCAGCAAAAACCCGTAAGCTCAAATAATTTTTTGGAGGGGCCGAAAGGCTTTTCCATGTGAAATTCTTTGCAGCCCTTCCCCCAAACGGATTATCTCGGATAGCCACTGCCTCATACTACTCGTCAAGCTTCAGAAAGTTTGCCCTGCATTTTTTGAAGTGAGACTCGGAAAATTATGCTAATCGCTTTTTGTTCTTGAAATAAATTCTGAGCTAGAAGGGGATGAAAAGTAGAGCTTGTTACGGTTATGTGCTAGTCGAGGGAAGCACTTCAAACTCCATTATCCGGGAGAGTGAAGATAATTATGGAAAATGGTGAGCAGATTCCTTAAATGTAGTACAGGGAATCCGTTACGACTGTTCCCGATTACCGTGTTTGTGCCAGAGCTAAAAATGCTGCGTTTGTTGCATTAGTCCACAACATTGGGAACATCCGGATCTTTTGTGAATCAGACTTGTCTCGATTATCGACTACCGACTACTGACGACTCGTATCCCAAAGCTGTTGCAAAGTATACAGATTTCGCTATGAAAAGAATCGGTTTTTTGCTTGTAGCATGGTGCTGCCAGACATTTTTTTCCAAAGCTTCACTGGCTAATGTCGTTTGATTTAGGAAAGACTCCAGAAGAAGTATCCGATCCCTACATTTGAAGAGATGATGCAGAAGAAAAGGGAGAAGGAACGCTTACAGACGAGGAAACAAATTGCGGGTCTAGTCAGCTTCGCAACTTTGGCCTCAATAGCCATTATAATAGCGAAGAAGTTCTTCCATTAGTTTCTAATAGCGTCATGACTGTAGGTCTCAGATCACGGTCACTATCATAGTAGAAGACATTCTTGCTTTGTAGGTCTCTAGTTCCGCTAGTACAGTGTATAGGTGCTATTTGAGAGAAGGTTAGATTAATTAGCATAAGAAAACATCCAAGAGCCATAGCAGAGTAAGTTTACAGATTGGCTCAGATTGGGCCCTCAATGTTGTTTTCACTTCCATGCACAGGCTATTCATCGCACGCAGAGACTGGACATCATTGCGTCTGATGAAATTAGTTTTTCTTTGCGAGAGACAGCGAACGTTAGAGGAAGTTAGTGCGTTTGACTTGCGAGACCCGACAGCGTCCGCAATGGCGCCCCGTCTCTGCGCGCGATGAATCGTCCAATTTCATGCGACATCTATATTCATGCGAATTAGGTTCTGATGCATTTTGTCGGTGCCACAATTTAAATCTTTCTAGTCTTCATAACTCTCAGTCTGGCTCGATTTGCTTGACTGACTGCAAATAATCAATGTAGTTGTTTTGTTTTGACATTGCTCAATCTTTATATTGTTGTTTAGGTATGGAAGATAAAGATTATTCTACCACTTGTTGTCAAGAACCATTCTATTCTTTTTGTATTCAATATTGGTAGATGTCAGCGGGAGTAGAGAAAGTTCGTTCGGGGCGGGTGGGTGAGAAGGGGAGCAGGGGGGGGGGAGCGGTTGGAGGATGCAGATCGAAAAATTCTCGAGGTATGCTCCCATCTATAAGGGGTTCATCGCGGAATTTTTTTTACAAACCTATTTTTTCATTAGATCAAAACTATCAATTTTAATTTTTTAAAAATCATAAGTATTACGGTAGGTATAAGGTACAGGGGCAATTTGCTGAAACTTCGCCTAGGGGATCACTTGGCACGTTGGACATGAATATCATATCAAAATTGCGAAAGCGCGATTTTCTCGGGTTTGGGTGTAGCTGGATGGCTTAATATTCCAAATGGGTCAAAACTTTTGGGGGGGGGGTATTCCAGCATGCTAATCACGGATAACATGCTGTTTTTGCGTTTTCATGCCTTTTCACGGAGTTACGGTAGGTATACGGTAGACGGTAATCGTAGATCGGCCTGATTTGTATGGGGGAGGGGAGTATCTGTCGTGCTGATCACGAAGATCACACTCATTCGCATGAGAACCCTTTTGAGGATTTTTGGGATCTAACTTGGCCTGCAAGGCATGAAAGATCTCTATCTATACATCGCAGTTTAACATAATTCAACAAAAAAGGCGTTATTGCGGCGAGCTAGCTTGATATGCGTAATCGGGATGCTCAGAAACCCCTTTAGGCAAAATTTTGAGGAAACTTGGAATTTTGTAATCCAGACCCAAGTTTGTAACCCATTTACCGTATACTACCGTGATCTCACAAAATGCTCCCTTACGAAATTTTGGCGCGCATGTACAACGCGTCAAGTGATCTCTTAGCCGAAGTTTAGGACAAACTGTTGTTTTTGACGCCCTACAGTAATCCCACAACTCCGTGAAAAGGTGCCACCGTAAAGAAAGCATATGCTGTTCATGATTAGCATATGACCCCTTTCGTACCCCTCCCCCCCTCCCGTAAACACACGGGGCACTTTCACGCGAAAAAGTGCGATGTTCATGAGTATGTCAGATAACCTCTCTGGGCCAAGTTTGAGTTAAATCGATGAGAAAAAAAATTTTAAGGCCTGAATAGCCGGATAGGCCCAAATCTTACAGTAGGTAACTCACGGGGAAAAATCGCGAACTTCGTCGCAAACTTCTTCGAAAAGCGAGGCTGATGCTGTGCATTTCCAGTCGGACAGACTCTCTGCTAAGCCGTTGGTGATACGTCAATAATGAATTTGAATTTGTTTTTTTCGTAGAACTGTCAAATATGAGTTGACAGAGCCCGGCACGAGGTGGGCAGACGGGGTTTTCCAAAACGAATTCCCCGTTGACCCCAATAGCTTCTACGAATACCGCCTTGAGCCCAAAAATGACGCTTTGTGCTTGTGGAACGAGAGCACCGGCCACACTTCGCCTAAAAGCGCTCAAAAGCGCCCAAAATGCTCAAATTCCTCTAATTACTCCTCACCTGTATCAAGATAGAAAACAGGAAGAAGAATAAGCAAGGAAAATGATGAAGGAATGAAAAAATATCAAAGGAACGCAGTCATAGGACTGAGAGACGCCGTTCCCGCACGTATCGATTAACTGGGGCGCGCTTTCCATCTTAGAAAGCTAGGCTGCTGATGCGATTTTGGGCTCTAACAAAGACACGAGGAGGAGTTTCGGAACCAAAATCTCACCATATAGTAAACTTTAGGTGAACAACAGATTTATGTAAAATTTTTGAAAAAATTATGCGAATTGAAAGTTTTGCCCACCTAATTTGGAAAAAAGTTAAGCACGCTCTTCATTTACATAAGTTTTTCATAGATTTTCATGCATTGTTCCTTAGTCCTACTGCGCGTATACACACCAAGTCTCGCGCGATTTCGTTTTCTCTGCGCTGCAAACGAGCCATTTTTCCATTTTCTTGATAGTGGGAAATTTTCAGAAAAAAGCTTGCCACAACCTTCATTCACATAATTTTTCAATGAAACTTCTAAGATAAGCCCTGCAGGCCCGTGTTCATGTACCTACCAAGTTTCATACCGTATGGTCATCTGTGCGCTGCAAACGAGCCATTTGAATTCACATCTTCATTTACCAGCTTTGCGAAATTTTGGAAAAGAATGCTTATTACACCTCCCATTCACATAAGTTTTTCATAACATTTCATGCTTTGTTTCTACTAGCCTCTCTTTGTTCGCTTACGTAATTTGGTGCTATATCATTACGCCTGCATTGAGAACTGATCATGTAATCATGCTGTTCAACGGCATCGCTCATGCGACGTCGCGCACGCGGCAATTAGCGGCAACGCGGCGTAGTGCGCGCGAAGTCTGCTGTGCGTTGAAGTTTATGAAAACTTTTCCGATGAATTAGATTTATGACGTAAACATGATTCGACCTTCTTTTGCTTGCACTTGGAATCTTCTTCCGGGGCTCCGCCCGGATCCCGCAAAAACGATTTCCCCTTTGCTTTTTGGCCCCAAAACGATTTCCAGCTTGTCATTTGCCCACCTAGTGCCGGGCCCTGGAGCTTGAGTGCATCGAAAGCACCAACAGTACTGCTTAAAGGCTGTGGCTCGGCAAATCTCAACCTAGTCAAATTTGCGCTTACCTGTGGTTTTTCAATACGCTGATTCCGAAAATCCAGTTCTGCGAGCTTGAAAACGACAAAAACGACTGTTTTTCAATGTCCCAATGGTTATAGCACTGCGGCGGGCAGCCTCCCCGACCCACTGCCTTTAAAGGCAGTGTCTCAGCAGAATTTCATCTTTCACTTTTTCATATTTTTGAAGCCTTTTCGCCATGAGAAATACATACCTGGACTTTTCAGCACATGAAAAGGCGAAAATGAGCTTTTTCCGAAGCTTTCCAAGTAGGTAATTAGTGGAGAACACGTGTAAATCTGCGGCAGGAACGAGGGAGGCGAGGTGCGAAAGATTGACTTACCTTCACTGAATGCGGAACTGGAAGGCTTGGTAAAAAGCCTGTTTTTGCCATTTTCATGCGCTGAAAAGCCCAGATATGGTTCCTCATGTCGAAAAGGCTCCGAAAAGGTCAAAAACTGGAAAACAAAATTCTGCCGAGACACTGTCTTTAAGACATTCGAAACGGTGTAATGTTACTACGTTTTCGGTTCAACATGTTTCGGACATTGGTTGGTTTCTGGCCCGCTATTCAGTACTATAGCAGTCAATCATAGTCCAGCATGGCGATAAATTTCTGAACCAACAACCTGCAGCTGGGTAAACAAGGAGCACCAAAATGACCGCGCGGTCATTGTGCTATATAAATCCTCAGAAATAGACCTGGTTCACTCCGTAATGAGCCAATACATTGTATTTGCATTACTGTTATCCTGCATATCCATTTATGCAACTACTGCAGCTATTTTCGATGCAAAATTTACTAAACCCTATGTTCTAAAGAAAACGTGGGTGGAAAATTTTGTTAAGTTCCAGTACATTTTCGAAGGGAGAAATGCCACTGCAAAGATTGTTCCAGTAGGTGGGTCATTCATTTCTTTGAAATCTTATCTGTTTTTTATCTGTACTTTCAGGATGTGTACCTTCAAATCAGGATGATGGTGAAGTATTAAAAGTTGGAGGTACATTCGCCGATAAGGACTTCGAATTTGCTTGTCAACAAAGCGAGGATGGTGTTTTGAGCTACGAAGCTGTTGGTGAGAATCTTATACCGCAAAAATAAAATTGGTAATTGTACCCCTAAATCCTTGTGGATAAAACTATCTAGAAATGGATCCGCCAAAAATGAATTTTTAACTTCAAAATTATGAGGTTTCTAAAGAACTGCAAGAACATGGGGTATCTTGTGCGTCAGTTGAAATCGGCAACTCTTTTGAGTGAATGTAAAGTGCTGAAGTGGAGATAAATTCGTACAAAAATTGGGTCTCGATCAATAATTCTGATATTTGATAGACCCCTTTATAAACTTTGAGTGAGACAAGAAAGATCTTATTTTGAAATTTTGTAGTAGAAATAGTTAGTTCCTCAAAATTACGATTTATTCTCAAGATCAGGTAATTACCCTAATTTCACGCGTACAAGGCGCGGGGTGGTCCTAGCTTTCATCGACCAGCCCGAACACGGAAAGGACTTCGCAACTAGCGGAGCCCCATACCGTGCTGCGTTTTGCCTGACGAATCGTGCGGCATAAGGATCGCTTCTTAAAACACTTTGGGGCGGCTGAGCAGCTCGACGAAAGCTAGGACCACCCCGCGCCTTGTACGCGTGAAATTAGGGTATATTTTTTGGATACTAAATCGATATTCAGCTTGCGTTGACGCACACGGAAAACGAATGCAGCTGGGAGAAATGCGAAAATTGGCGAATGGTACCGTAATCCTACATTGCAACCTTTACGGTGGAGCATTGAAAAAAGTAGTGGAACGAGGTCGGTTTTTTTTGTAAGCACGGCTATGAATGATATTATCCTTGTTTGCAGCTGCTGGATGTTATTATAATGAAACCATCTATGGAGAGGATGAGAAGTGGATTGAGCCATTGATAGACGACAAGTCGATGAGGAGATATAAAAAAGTGGTAAGGAGATAATCTTGAAGTATATCTGATTTATAATCTTTAGAAACTATCGTCTTGATACATCTCTTTGCTGGATTCAAAATAAAACAAATTTTTTTTGGTGTTTTTCTTCTCAACCAGCTGATTTTTAGCGTCATTTTGGTTTATTGCGAGGAATGACTACGAAATGAAGAAAACTTAGAGCTGAAATTTTTGTGCATTGAGTACCCGTTGATTCAACGGGATTCGCGGCTGGAAGGCGGGGCTTCGAGGCCTAATCAAGGCTAAGGATTGACCAGAGAGCACGCGCGCGGGAGATACGCAGGATGCGTCGCAGGCGCGAGCTGTCACCTTTCAGCCGCCAATCCCGTTGAGTTGAGCCAAAGGGTACATTAGATAGGATATTAGTCAAGTCACACCAATTGTATGCTGTTTTGTTCCAAAGATGGCGAATTTTGCTCTTCAATCACTTCTTTATTCTTTACAGAAGCCAATCAAAGCGAAGCTGTCTGGGAACACTTCGGAGCTGACTGGTCGATTGATGGAGTGTTTCCGTCCTCATTACAGCTACTATGAAAGCCATTTGATTGGTAAGTTATGCTCATTTCTTTGTGTGTTTGAAGTATACAAATCAGCACCTTCGTATTTAAATTTTTCAAAGATGTTGAGCAGGTAGAGAATGATAGAACGAGAATTAGCATTCTTTTTAGGCATTTCTATGCTACGTGTCTTTTTTGTAGAGCTTTCTTTTCATAGAGAAAACGGTACTATTCCACTTAATACAACCAAAATGTAAGATTCAGACAAAAGAGCATTTGAGCTGATCAGAAAAAAAAACATTCTTCCAGCATGATGGGATTTTTTTGAGGAATTACGATGGGCGTATAAATGGCACGCTGATTGCGATTATCGTAGTACCCTTTGACACAAATGACTTGGCGGCTGGAAGGCGGGGTTTCGTGACCCAATCAAGGTTAGATTCAGAGAGCACGCGCGCGAGTGAGACGCAGGTTGCGTAGCAAGCGCAAGCGGCCTTAATTAGGTCACAAAGCCCCGCCTTCCAGCCGCCGAGCTGGTTGAATCAAAGAGTAGCTTCATTTTTCGGGTTAGGCCGGTGTAATCTATGGGCCAAAATTCAAATTTGCTGAACACTTTGTCTACAGATGTCACTGCTATCCCCTATATCATGAATAATGTCTAAAGGAGATTTGTTCAAACTAATATCAAAACATGCAGCAAAATTCGTGTATGCGTAATTTTTTAAAACCCACCAGCTTATTGTCTTCTTCCGAAAACTTCCACATAACATTCTTTACATCTACAGGTTGCGCTGTTGGCAACATTGGTATACGCTTCGAAGAGACTATGGAATTGGGTAATGGTAAAATTCTGAGATGTGTACAAGATGAAGAGGGAGTTATCAAGCTAGTTAATGTGGAATTAGATGGTGAGCCTATACTGCCATTCCACATACAGTTGAGTAGATTCTCCGCTTAATATAACGTGCTTGCACTGTAGGTGAGATGCGGTAAATTTTGCGCGTGAGCAATGGCTGCGCCTGCGATGCCGGCCAATCGCGCGCGCAGAATGCCAGCATTACTGGCGTGGCTAAGGTTTTTTTTCATTCCACCGCATTTCACCTACAGTGCAAGCACACTATATTAAGCGGAAATTCTACTCGACTGTAATCCATCGAAAAAATTATTTTCAGAATTATCTTGCAAACTCGATAATCAAACCTATGCCCATCTTGCAAAATGGAAGGACGAGGGCAGAGCGGCTGAAATGCAGTGTAGTTACGGACATTTGAAGAAAACTGGTAAAATTAAATTTATGAATTTAATGACTATTAACTGCTTTACCTGTCATGCATGTCATACTATATTTCATACTTAAAACGCCTTTATGCGTATTCTGTAGAGTCAAACCGCACAAACTGGTCGTCATTGCGGAGCACGCGACGCACCCATAAACGCTCGTACCGGGCGCGTCGCGTGCTCCGCAATAATCGCCGATTCATGCGGTCGACGACTGTACAGTACACTAATCTTTTGCTTACTAGGCTGAGAGAAAAGGGCAAGAAAATAATGAGTTTTTGGAAAAACATTTTCAAGTCAGTCCAATCTTTCAGGCTGCATTATGAGTGGCAAATCCTACGGTATTGGTCAAGAGGTGCAACTTACGAATGGTTGTATCTTCCTGTGTCATCCGCAGTCAAATGTGTACATTTGTGATCAGCATATTGGGAACTGGACAGTTGAAGAAACTAAGAACCAAACATCATCATGGATCAGTAGCGCATTGATCAAGTAATCTGAGCTGAGAACTATGAGAGACACTGCTTTTCTGTATATTGTGACCGGGTGTAAATTTTGTAATGATGAAAGTTTCTCTGCTTAGTCATTACTCCAAGCTTCTGCGCTCCACTATATCACGCTTCTAAGAACTTGGGAAATTCGGACATGATTCACACATACAAATCAAGAGTATAACAAAGGAGGCGCAAGAATGTATCGCAAAATTTCTCGATGTTAGCTGTAAACTAGCTGCCTTACCCGGCTTCTCCCGGCCCTGTCAAAACGCTATTATAAAGCTCCCATCTCTATCCCCGTACAAGACTTCCTTGTGCCCACTTCTACATACAGTCGATTTCACCCCGGGTAGGCGAAACATTCTACGTGGAGCAGCGCGTGCGCATCGCTGGAGGCTTCGCGAGCGCATGGCGCTGGCATTTTGCCAAGCCAAGACTAAGGAGAATGAAGAGACGCAGATTTGGGTTCACAGCGCGATATGATGTACTGTAGCTACGAAAGGGCGCGAATCGTTGCGAGGGGACGCCCGCCAGTCCATTTTCCGCCTAAAGCGGGTCGAAACTTACTATATTAACTTCAACTTCCTATTCCCGCTGTGTTAGTTATCAGCATGCTCACTTATCCCTATGCGGATTCCCAGCCCCATAGCTCAAATTTTTACAAAAAAAATCGATGAAATGGAAAAAAGTAACGGGTAATTTCAAGAACTAATATTGTATTCATATCAGCATGCTTGATTACCCCTCTGTGCCAACTCCCAGCCCCGCAGAAACCGATAAAAATTAGAATCGACATCGATCGATGACGAAAAGTAGCCTATGACGCCCGCCCCGCCCCGAAGTGTATGTGTGCCGAGTTTGGTCCGAATCGGTTCAAAAATGGAATTTTCTATTGGGAACATACGTACACACAGACAGACATACATACAGACAAATAGATATTTAGCTTTATATATAAGATGATTGGCGTAATTTTTAAATATTTGACAAGAACTTTCAACCCCAGCCATCAAGGCGGGGTTGAAATTACGTTTTGGCGCGTTTCGGCGTGCCAAGAGCGATCAATACGCATACCTTACATGCGAAATCCTGCTTATTTCTGATACTTTTCAGAACTGCCTCGAAGAAACGATTTCTACAGCGGTATGGGGGTAAGCTTTCAAAACTTCATTTGAAACTGAAGCTTCAGAATATTTTAGGAAATGTGAAACATTGAAGTCGAAACCTAGACAATGCCTTCAGATCTAGCATTTTGTAGGCGTTTAATTGTAGTTCGAATTCTCAACATGACTTCCCGTCGGCTTCTGCGCCCGATCTGGGACATGCCAATTACGTCGCTTTGTTATCTGCGCCCCTCGCTTAATACTAACTCAATCGGGCATGAATGATGGCTGAGCAGCTAAAGAGAGAAACGTTCTAGCAGCCGGGCTGGCCAAGCCGTTCTGCCTCACCTCCTGCATCCATTTTCGATATTTTCAATATTTCCAAAGCTTTACGAAAAAAGCGACTCGAGCGCTGCTTGAGTCCGTTTGTAATTAACCACATCTGCGGTTGACACATTTGAAGAGATAGGCTGATTTGACGTTACTCTACTGCCGCAGCTAATCCTTTTAGCGATCCTTGTCTTTTTTGCAAGCTTTCAAGAATTTTGTGTGCTGCGCTGGTTTTCGTGCCAAAATCCACTCCACTAGCACATTCTTCAACCTTTTTACTACTTATGTTTCTTCATTGGTGTTTTAAGGACCCAATACAGAAAACGAATTTTTTGCACTTGTTTTTGTACACCTCTCATTCCCTAAAACTTATGGTACTTCTGAAAAAAGCATTAATCTGCTCCGTAAGCCTTGCAACAAAAATATGAAAACTTCTCAAAAATCAAAAAGATATTGGGTCTTCTTTACTTTACTCTATTTTATTTCGTACATCAATGTTTTCAAATTCATATCTTATCTTTCTACTTTTTATTTTACTACAAAGTCGAAAAGGCACTGTACTTACAGTTGACTAGAATATCTTATTGCCTCTCGATAATGACTCTGAATCTCAATAATGATAATCACTTTCACATTTGAAACAAAATTGGAAAATGTCGAGTGAAAAAATTGAAAATCAGTCGGTAGAGAGGAATTTGCTCAGTCAAAAATCAGTATTTCGTAACGTAAGAAAACGAGTACAACTTGCCAGGCTTTATAGCATTTTTAGCGTTTCAAAATTCGAAGAAAAAAAACTATTCAAGTGTTCCCCTTCTTTTCTGTCCACTGTATATTAGGTCTGTCCAAAAGTTCGTGCCGTTTTTTTCTCTTTGATGTTCGCTCGAATAATCATGAGAATCTTCAACCCGTGGTTTTGAGCCATCCTGGGCTTGGCTATTTCTTTAAAATTTCCATTTTAAACTTTTGGCCGAGCTTTGATGATAGTCTGCTAGAATAAACAAATTGCAATACAATAAACAGTTTTAGCCTTTTCAACTAGCTTTCCAGTATGTCTAGAATAATTTTTCCGAAAGCCATCACTTTTGCGAAGTCGTGAAATAAACAACCGCTTCAAACACTAACGAATTTCCAGCTTGAAGCTTCCAAAACAAATATGACTTAACTCTGTTTTCAGCAAGCAACTGAGCGTTTAGCGGTTCGAAATATAGAATTTCGATGTTTCTAGGTGCAACCTGAAAGCAAAAATTATAATGATTTTGTCCTCAAATAATATATAAATAGGAAGCAAAGAAGTCTATCAGAAAGAAGAGAGAAAACTGCATCAAATGATACCCTGGTTACTTGCCGTTTATTGTTCTGTAAAGAATGGGATGCCCAAATATGGAATTTGATGACATTGGAAAGTAATTTTTGATAATTTTGAGAAGCCATCTAGAAAGCCAAAAAACTGTATTGCATGCATTTTGTTTATGCTATTCAACTGTTATCAAATCTAGTTTAAAAGTTGAAAGTGGAAGTTTCAAAAAATGGCCAAACTCAGGATAGATAAAAACCATGGGTTGAATATTCTGACGATTTTTCGAGCAGACATCAAAAGGCTCTGAGCAAAAACATCATCTTTGAACAGAAAAAGAAATTCTGCATCAAACACTGCTTAGAACGTTTGTTTATCGTTTATTTCGAGTTATTTTAGCATGGGTCTGAAAAATGGCACGAACATTTGGACTGACCTAATACCAATAATCTTTGGTCTAGCAGATTATCGTTACTCTTAAGCTAATGAACAACTAAACCCGAAAAAAAACTATGATTTTTTTGAAAGTAGTGCAGAACTTTCCAACCTAGCACTGAGATGAACATTCTTCAAATGTAAAGGGAGAAAATTTTTTTGAAAATGTACAGCCATATTGACGAGCGAGATTTATAACCCATATTCAACGAATCCTTTCGAGGATTTGCCTGAAAGCCTTGATTTACGATGGATGTGTGAAATAACGAGAAATCTGTTGTTAAAGGAAATTGAAAAGGAAATGTTAAGGTAGTCTGTAATTTTCCCGTACAGCAGTGGGAAATTAGAAAATTTTTATCTTTCCTGCTTTGCAATAAAATTGTGTCAAGTGACATTTTGAAGAAAAAAACCTCATAAAGGTTCACATAGAGGCTTCGTATAAGTAATGACATTATGCAGATCTCGTTTTTAATCATCGTGAATAACTAGATTATCTCATTAAGCCATAATCTATCCTATATTCGAAGATTGCAGGCGATCCAGCAAATTTTCAGACAATTTAAGTAAATTCATTGTTCTTAGCACAGCTCTTGAAAATGTTCCTCAACATTGTTTGCAATATAAAGTGTACAATGGCGGTCCGAAGGGGGGGGGGGGCGTTCCCGCATCGAGAATGGGTCGTGAAACTTTTGAAATTTACTTACATTGGTTATAAAAATGTGCAATAACTGAAATGATTTTCAAAACTTCTAACAAAATTCAAATTACCCTTGTAAAATCATTTTTTCAGGAGTATCATCTCCTCTCAAAGTAAACTAAACATATTCTTGTTTATTTTTACCAAACTATGATTATCTTACCTTTGAAATAAGCTACTACAAGCAATACTGTTTTTTTGTTGATTTATGTAACATCGGAAAAGAAACTGTTTGCAAGTGATAAGGGTGGCCTAATAAATTTTCCTTTGACATCTATGATACGAAACTATTGATTTGGATAGATGTTATCTCGCTAATGTTTTTTTTGTAAGAAGGCCGATTTGAACTTCGAATATCATAACATTATAAAAATTTTTTATTGGCAATGAAAGACAGCTAAATCTTTGTATGGCTAGCCTATTGAATTTAGTTATATTTTCATGTTGTGATAAGTACACAGCATTTTGTGAATTTTTGTAGTTAACAATGTAACAATTTTACAACATCTGTGCTCGGAAGTCTGAGGAAAAGTCTCCTGACTGCGACTAAAAAAATGTTTATTTAAAAGTTGTATGTGAATTTATTGGACAATTTATTTTAAATCCGACTTCACCTCTTTTTTATAGCCATATCTATAAGAATTTGGTAGAATAGTTTGCCCCCCCCCCCCTTCGTTCCACACAATTTCGTATCGTAATAGTAATTCTGCCCTAACAAAGATCATCGAATTTTCCTGTAGTGTTTTTCCATTAATACCATGCATTCACACATGAATGTTAGGTGGTAAATAAGTTTTGTTACAATTTTTTCTTCCTCTCCATTAAGTTCTAGAAAGTTTAGCAGAGTATTTGGCACATATATGGTTAATAGACAAAAAATTATTTGTTGGCATCTTCACCTTCCAGAACGTTAAGGTAAATATAAAGACGATTTTGTAAGGTACTTCAGTGTCCATTCTTCTATTTCTTATGAAAACTCTCTCAGTCTTATTTTTCGTGCTCTTAGATGTGGGTTTCTGGGGCATTAGTAAATACTTGTATAAAGGCAGCTTGGAGGGGAAATTTGCCAAAAATATTTGAAAAAAATTCAAAAAATTCAAAAATTGGATTGTTCGCGTGTGACATGCATACAATATTGAAAAG